CGGGGCTATGGACAGTGGCACCACTTCAGGAGGGTAGAAAAAAGAAAAGAATTTGGAAAGTTTTAGCCATGAAGAAATTGACAAATGTTTGGAAAAATAGACATGTTCAACCTGATTTGAATAGTACACATGCATGCATGCATTGGAATAGCACATCCTCTCATCCATAGGGATATTTTTGTTTGTTTGTTTTCGTGTATCAGTAGAAAGATCACTTTGGGTCAGCAGAATGGTTCATCAGGTAAAGGTGCTTGCCACCCAGACAGAGAATGTGAATTTGATTCCTGGAACCCATGTGGAACCCAGTGGAAGGAAAGAACTGACTCCTGGGAGTTGTCCTCTGACCTCCACATACATACTATAGCGCACACACACACACACACACACACACACACACACACACACACACACACACACTAATTAATTTAAAATAAATAAATTTAACTTTTAAGTTTCTTACCGAATTGTGATGTAATAAATTCATAGACTTTATTTATCTCCATTAATTTCAAGGTTCAAATCCATTGACAAATACTGATTTGGGTCTTTAATAGAAACTCCAAACTCCTCACTTCCTTCTTTTAAAATTTCTTCTAGAAGCTAGGATCAAGGAGAGTGTTTGTCTAGCATGTGCATGCCCTGAATTCAGTCATCAGTACGTTCAACAACTCACTCACACAGCTATAATAGAGTCCTGAGAACAAGAGCTAAGAGCTCACAATTAAGATATGAAAAGCCTTGTTACTGGAATAGTTTGAATGCCCTTTGCCCCTCATTCTCTGAGCAACACTGATACTTAGGCATGACCTTGAATGACTTACTCACTTCCTCATTATATTTCCAAATCCTTCTTTTCTAAGGGATAAAGATATCTTCAAATAAGGTGGATGCTTTCGTTAAACATGCAGAAATTAATCTCAATGATAAAGACATGCAGACGCTGATGGACCATCTGCCAGTTGATCGTGAGTTTACCTCCTAGTAAAACTTGCAACGTGAACCCAGTAGTGGATCTGGGATGAGGGGAGGATGTATGTGAAAAGAAGGGAGATAAAATGTGAAGTCTTCACACATAGCTACCACACTGAGCCCAGTGGCCACCACTCGGGAAGAGGCACCAAGAGCACAGACAGAAATGACAAGTCTCCACTAGACACCGTGGGAAATGCCAAGCTCAGACAAAAATACTGAGGATGTTCATTTTTTGGTTCATAGTGCTAATCTGTGGTGGTATTTTACTTGCACTGAAATGTGATTTTAATTGTATGTTAATAAATAAAGTTGTCTGGGGGTCAGAGCTATTAGAGCCATAGCAAGTGCATGGCGGCGGTGGCGCACACCTTTAAGGACCTGGAGGGCGGTACATACAGGCAGTGACGAGGCAGTCACATGTTTGGGTTTACAACAAATGAGAAGGCAGAACAGCTAGAGTATATAAAGACATACACACAGGAAGTAGGTCCCTTTCGGAGAGCTCTCTTGACTGAAGAGGATCCCTGAATCAGGAAGGGTGAGGCTCTTAGCTCTGACCTCTTGGCTTTCTTCTCTGAATCAGCTCTGTGTTTCTTATTTAATAAGACCGTTGGTTACATCTACACTAATCCAATAGTAAATATCACTGAGTAACACTGCATAGTTCCGACAAATGGGAGGAATTGTTCTAAGTGCTGTATAATTAGCTTATTGCATTTTCCAAATAATTCTGTGAGTTAGGGTCTAGTTTTACCTCTATTATACATACAAGGAGACTAAGAGGCAGAGAATACAAGTTGCTTGCCCAAACTCAGCGAGCTAGAGAAGTGGCAGAGCCAAGAAAGTTCAGGTAGTCTGGTCCCAGGTTTTTTTTTTCCTTTTGGCTTTTTGAGACAAGATCTCTTTATGTAGCCCAGGCTTGCCTCAAACTTGTCATCCTCCTCTCCCTGGCCTCCCATGTACAAAGATTATGGGCGTAAGCCACCACACCTGGCCTTAATGCTGTGCTGCCATGAGTTCTTAGAATTTTGAAGGTTAAGGTGCTATAGTAATATAGTAGCAGTGAGAACAAAATTAATCAAAGATGGATGTGATGAGAGAGGCTTGAAATCCCAGAACTTGGGAGGTTGAGGCAAGAGGACAGCAAGTTCAAAGCCAGTCTGAGCTACATAGTAAGACTTTATCCCAAAAAAAAAAGAGAAGGGCCAACAAGATGTCTCAGTTGGTAAAAGCATTTGCCACTCAAGCCTGGTTCTTTATAATGTTAAAAGGACCAGCCTTAATATTATACTTCCCAGGGCTCAGGAGAGACTAACGGCAACAGAATCTTTTTTTTTTTGGCGGGGCGGGGGAGGGGGGGGACACGGGACACAGAATCTCAGCACACCGAGCTCTTTAGTCTACTTGCTTTAATTCCTCTGGAATAACATCCTATTTACACAGCTTCAGTTCTGTTCTCGTGCCTAGCTCTTTTCCTGCCTGATTTCTCTCTCTATTCATCTACTGCTCCCTCTAAGTTCTATCTTAATTCTGCCTCTTCTAGGTTCTTTTCACCTCATTCTCACCCAGCTAGTACTTCCTCATCTGTCTCTTCCTCATCTTCCATCTAGTCCACACATTTTCTCTGGTCAAAATCCTCCTATCCCCAACCAGTTCTCCACCTCTAAGTTCTCTACGTACTTCCCAAGTCTCCCAGGAATCCAGTTATAAACCCAAGCAATAGAAATCCTCTGGCAGAGCAAGGTCACCAGGCTTGAATTCTTAAGGGGTCATAAAGGCAGGTAAGAATTTTCCTCAGGCATTGACCACCAGGCTTTCTTTAACAATCTGAAATGGGAGTAGTAAAAGAGGAGGTCAACTGAGTGCTAATGACCAGTTAGTGTATGAAAAAGGGGATCTATGTGCTCAGTCTACATTCCGAGAAGTGGTTAGGTAAGAAGTTAGGGGTCTATAAATTTAGTAAGGCTGTAAGAAAGGAGGGTCTGAGCTAAATTGTGTAAAGCTATTACTTAAGGTCCACCTGACCTAGGCGGTGTCTCCTTGTGGAATTTACCTTAAATCAGGAGACTAGCATGTGGTGGTCTGTTATTTTGGTTAGTCCTTGAAAGTGGCTAAGGGAGATATCTGATTCCAGGGCTGACAGGGGAGAAAGGATGGGCTGGGAGGAAGGAAGCCTTTCCTGAGGCTGTTCTCCAAATACCTTGAATGTGTATGTCCAAAGAGTGATCAGGCCACACTGTTAGCAATTCTTAGGGAAAAGTCAACTGGGATAACTATGAAGGCACACATGATTTTCATAACAGAAGACAGCTGATATATAACAAGCCAAATAACACCAAAAGCTCCTTGGAATTTGGTTTCCTCTGAAAGAATTCCTTGATCCCTTCAGGTAGTGGCTTTGCCATAACCAGCTGAGTTCTTATAATATATTCCTGCAGCCTGTAGCACTTGGTGACCTAAATTCAACCTCCAGAGCCCACATAAAGGCGGAAAGAGGCAACAGACTCCACAGAGTTGTCGTCTCACCTCCTCACACATGCTCTGTCACACATACACCCCACCCATCCACACATCAGACACATGATAACTATAAACAACTTCTAAAAGAAGAAGATAGAATGAATTAGCTGTGGCATACATTTGGTGATTTTTCTCTATTGACCTGAGAAAATTTTAGGAAATCTGGGAGGATGCCAGACCCTAAGGAAGTATTAAACACCGTAAGATTCATTCAAGTCCATTGATAAGTAATTTTCTAAATCGATAGAAAATGTCATTCCTTCATTCAGTTGGCTGTAGTGTTTCTAATGTTTTAGGCAACCGGCCTTTTGCCTTCATAAGAGATAAGCAGTTCTTCCAAAACCTACTTTTATTTTTAAACCCCTTTGATAGCTGTTTTAATCTACCGTGGCCATTGCCCTGTTTTCTTGGTATTTAGGAACACAACCATCACAGTGATTTACAGTGCAATGATATTCACCTAATTTATGGAATACCTTATATATCTATGTAATCATCTAAGAAAGGATAGATACTTCTGGGCCCAGTGGGCCTCAGGGGGACACAGAGTTAAGGGTGTAATGACATCTGTGCTTTACAGACATAACTGTATCAAAAAAAGGTTCTTACCTATCCCATTTAAAAATAACAACACCGATCACACTAACAAGATGCTAACAAAAGATTGCCATAACTGAGAAAGTATTTTTGAAAAATTTTACATCTAAGGTGAATATATATTGGTTTTAAGGTAAAATCTGTTAGCTGCAATGTGTTTGCATTTTGATATAACCATTGTTTAATAAACACTTGTGTAGCATTGGTCTTGTGCAAGCCATTACACTAATGATTATCAGGTAATAGTAAGAATACAGACTGATCACTTGTACTTTACCATCAGTGTTACATACAGTGTTGGAGTATTACAAATAACACAACAGTACAAACAAATTGTGTCCTCTTGACCAAGTCATAGTGGAAGAGACTGTCCATGGCAGCTTAAGTCTTGGCTGTCTCAGTAGCCACCACTCCCATCCAGTGCTTTCAAACTTGCAATTTTAGAAGCTGTTTTAAATGTATCCAGTGACTTTCTACTTTAATTTGAGAAACACTGGGTAAAGGAAGTAACTGTACAGTGTTTGAGAATGGTCATTGCAAAACAAGGTTCTGTCATTAGAAGTGAGCAATATTAAACACATCAATATGACAGTTACCATGTTGAAGTTCTAGGAGCAGCCAGGAGTAGACCAATGCTCTCATTTAGCAGAAAAGACTAGCCACAGATTGAGGCTAAATTCGAGGAGAGTGCTTGATCTTGCATTGTGCTATACAGATGCTCATAGTGGAGATAGAAGTAGCTATATTAATTAAACTGATGAGGATCAGACATGAAAGATATAAACTTCATAAAATTTTTTTCAAGTGACTGAATATAGGTTTCTGTTTTATAATTTACAATTTAATGATTTCATATCATTTTCCTATAAATCTATTTTATGCTTTTTTTTGTCTTAAAGGTAATGGGAAGGCTGACTTCCGTGTATTGATGAACGAAATTAAAAAGATTACAGGTGAGTGAGCTGTTAAAATGAGTATTATATTGTGTGGTCTTTACATTTTATATTCAAATATGTTTTAACATAACATAAAAATCAAAGAAATTTCCAGCCTAAACTATACCATAAATTAAACAGATTTAACAGCTATCTCCAGGGGATTCCATACAACAGGTGCAGAAAACTCATTCCCTTCTCAGCACCCCATACTGTCCTCTCCAAAATAGAGAACTTCACAGAGCAAATCTTAACAAATACAGAAGAACTGAAAATGTCTTATGACTCATTAGATCACAGTGGAATAAAACTAGAAACTAATAGCAAGACAAAAAACACATAAATACTTGCAACTGACAGTATATTTCTGAATGACCAGTGGGTCACTGAAGAAACCAAGAAAGAAAATTTTAAATTCCTAGAATCAGATAAAAATGAAAGCATAGCTTACCAGAACCTTCGGAATACAGCCAAGGCAGTTCTCAGAAGAACATTTATAGCCACAAGTGTTTGTATTGAAAAAAATCAGAGATCTCAATTTAACAACCCAGTTATATAACTCAGGATCCTAGAAAAGCTAGAACAAATATAAACCAAGAGAAGTGGGTATCAATAAAGGTTAGGGTAGAAATTAATGAAGTGAAGACTGAAAGTGTAACACAGAATTGTAGCATGAATCCTAATTGATCTTAATAATAGAAACCCAGAGCCAGGTATCAGGGTAAATGCTGAAAGATCAGAGAAGTAGAGCAGCCAGCCACTAGAGAGATTTCTTATCTCTACTGAATCCTCAGCCTAAAAGGACTGAGCTCCTGTCTCCTCCGCCTTATATTCCTTTCTCCGCCCAGCCATATCACTTCCTGTCTCAACCTCCCTAGTGCTGGGATTAAAGGTGTGTGACTCCCAAGTACTGGGAGCAAAGATATGAGATCCCAAGTGCTGGGATTAAAGGTGTGTGCCACCACTGTCTGGCCTCTATGGCTAACTAGTGGCTAGCTTTGCCTTCTGATCACCACACAGAATCTATTGAACAAAAAGTTAGTTCTTTGAAAAGGCAAACTCTTTGCCAAACTGACCAAAAGAAAGGAAAGACCCAAACTAGTAAAATTAGAGGGAAAATGTGTGTTACAACAGTGCCAGTAAAACCCAGAGCATCATTAGGGAATGCTTTGAAAACTTACATTCCAAAATAAATTAGAAAACCTGTTTTTTTTAATGATACATACTTAGAGATGACCTACCAAAATCAAATCAAAAGAATAAAAACCATTTAAACAGATGCCTAACAAAAAATAAGATTGAGAGGGTTGGAGGAGTGCCTCAGTCAATAGAGTACCTGTGGCATGCTCATGAGTGCCTGAGTTCAGAGCCCCAGCACCCATTTTAAAAAACAAAACACACAAACAGATGTGTCAGTGTATGCCTGTGACCCAGGAGTGAGAACAGGCAAATCCCTGAGCTCATTGGCCAGTCAGTCTAGCCAATCAGTGCATCCCAGGTTCAATAAGATAACTGCCTCAAAAATAAAGGTCAAAAACAATAGAGGAAGTCAAAAACAATACCTGAAGTCAACCTCTGGCCTACACACACACACACACACACACACACACACACACAACTAAACAATCATGTACATACACCACACACATGTACTCAAAAAAAATCAAAAATAAAAATAAGATTGAAGAAGCAATAAAAATTCTCCTCACAGACAGGCAGTGGTGGCACACGCCTTTAATCCCAGTGCTCGGGAGGCAGAGGCAGGCAGATCTCTGTGAGTTATAGGCCAGCCTGGTCTACAAATCAAGTTCCAGGACAACCAGGGCTGTTACTCAGAGAAACCCTGCCTCAGGGAAAAAGAAAAAAAAACAAAAAACAAAAAACCTCCCCACAAAGTAAAGTTCTAAACCAGATGGCTTCTCTGCTGAGTTTTAGCTACCACTTAAGGAAGAGCTAACACCAATACTCCTCAAACTGTTCTACAAAGGATGCAGGGAAGACGCTCACCATACAGACTCACTCTACAAAGCCAGTAGATTCCAAAGCAGGGTAAGGACACAGCAAGAAAACTATAGGCCAGTTTCCCTATTGAGCATAAATGCAAAAATCTCAATAAAATACCTCCAAATCAAATTAAAGAACACATTAAGATCATAGATCGTAAGCAAACTGGTCTAAGCTCAGGGATACAAGACTTGTTCTGCATATTCAAATCAGTAGGTGTGATACACCACAGATACTGAAGAACAGAAATCACATGATCAACCCAATAACTACAGATAAAAAAACCTTTGACAAAAAGCTTTTTATCCTTCAGGATAAAGCCCTGAATAAAGTAGAAATAGAAGGAATATGCTTCAGAAAATGAAGACCACATATAACAAACTTGGACTCAGCATTATACCAAACAGAAAAAAATGAAAGCATTTCCTCTAAAATCAGAAGCAACACAAGGTGTCCCCTCTCACATTTCTTAATCAATATAGTGATTGAAGTTTGATAATTAAGATAAGAGAAAATGGATATAAATAAGAAAGCAAGAATTCAAAGTATCCTTGCTTCCAGATAGCGTGATCCTATACTTAAAGGACATTAAAGTCTCTTCCAGAACCCCTTAGAGCTGATCAGACATTTTCCATGAGGTAGTAGAATACAAAATCAGCATTCAAAGTAAGTAGCCTTTCCATATACCCATAACAAACTTGCCAAGAAAGGAATCAGGATGAGGGAGGGGCACTCACTCATGACACCTTTTAAACATAGATTAATGCTAAGGGATAAACCTAAACACAGAGGTGAAAACCTCCACAATGAGGCTGTAGAGGAACTAAAGAAGACATAGGTCTATAATCCCATACTTGGCTCTAGGGACAGGAAGATCCAGAGTTCAAGGTCATCCTCTGCTACATAGCAAATTTAAGGTCAGTTTGGGCTGCATAGGACCCTGTCAAAAGAAAGAAAGAGCCGGGCGGTGGTGGCGCACGCCTTTAATCCCAGCACTCGGGAGGCAGAGCCAGGCGGATCTCTGGGAGTTCGAGGCCAGCCTGGGCTACCAAGTGAGTTCCAGGACAGGCGCAAAGCTACACAGAGAAACCCTGTCTCGAAAAACCAAAAAAAAAAAAAAAAAAAAAAAAAAGAAAGAAAGAAAGATCAGGGGAGGGGGGAAAGGAGGAGGAGAAAGGGAAGGAAGGAGGGGAATGCCATAATGATGCCCACTACTCTTACGCTAACATGAAAATTGTAAATTTGTGTTGGGGAGGGCTATGACTCTTACCCTCTCAAACTTAAAATAGCTGTATACTATAAATTCTGCTAGGTTGTCATTTTACAAACATGAAATAACAGAGACAAAAAGAGGAAGAGGGAAGCGGTAGAAGTGCTAGAGGAAAAGAGTATGAAACCAACAAAAAGAATAGGATTGTCACAGCTGAGAGCTGGCGCAGCAGCTAACCCTGCCTGTGCCCTTGCAGAGGACCCAAGCTTGGTTCCCAACCCCCGGTCAGGCTGCTCTCAAACACCAGTAACTCCAGCTCTAGGGGATCAGGTGGCCTCTGCAGGCCTCCTCAGTCTTTGGACTCACAAGGTGCACAAACCACACACATAATTAAAAAATAAATCTTTTTTAAAAGAAAGCATAGACTTGTTATTTTAATGGCTGAATCCTATATTAGCTATCAGAAACATCTAAATTACTGAGAAGTTCTATGATCCCTGTTGTACTGTTATATGACAGACAGTGTAGACTTCAAGAGATTCCCTTTTACTTGTTAAAATTTCTTGTTTTTTTTTAATGATTGTTTGTTTGTTTGTCTTTGTTTTAAGACGAGATCTTTATATATATATAGCCCAAACTGACCAAACTTCCAATCCTCCTGCCTCAGACTCCCAAGTGCTGGGATTTCTGATAGGAAAAAAAAAAAACCCTTCCTCTTCATCTTTTTTCTTTTGTTTTAGTTTTTGAGACAGGGTTTCTCTGTGTAGCTTTGGAGCCTGTCCTGGAACTCACTCTGTAGACCAGGCTGGCCTCGAACTCACCGAGCTCCAAATGTGCCACCATCACCCAGCTCTTCCTCCCCTTCTTGACACTGAAGAGCCAGCACGTCCTCCCCGGGTCCCTTGACTCACATGTGTGTTACATGTGCACATTTTATTTATATAATGTTAGAAAATATGTAATTCTATTGTCTCACCTAAGGTGGTTTTCTCTTTTAAAGGAGAAAAGATTCATGCAGAGGACATAAAAGAAACTGTGGAAAACATGGGGATAGAAATGACCGATAAGGAAAACAAAAAACTGCTCAAAACTCTACCTGTCTGTGGTAAGCTTTGTGTGTTGTTTTCCCTGATCCCTAAAAAATGTATTCATTCGACAAGCATTGACTAATATCTGCACAGATATGACTCTGTCTGAACCACAGAAGAAATGGAAACTGTTTCCATTGCCCCAGGTTCCTGCTGTCAAAAAGAAAAAGTCAGGTTGTTTTTAAAGTTGGAATACTTTAAAATATTTTGAAGATTTTGTATTAATTCTAATATTTGAAATATTCTATGTTAGTTTAAAAGTTTTTTTTTTTTTTTGTAAAAAGAGCCAATTCTATACTAGGCATGATAACACATGCCTGCCATTCCTGAACTTCTCTGTTTGTTTTACACTTATTTGTATGTGTGTACACATGTGCACAAGCACATACCATGCACATGTGTACATGTGAAAGTCGGAGGACAGCAAGTGGAATGGGTTTTCTCTTCCATGGTGTTTGTCTTTGGGACTGAACTCAGGTCTTCAGTTTTGGTAGCAAGTTCATTTACCTGCTAAGCCAACTCTCTAGCCCAAGCCCAGCCCCTCAGAGGTCCAGGTAGGATAATCACTGCAAGTTCAAAGCCATTCTGCTCTACATGTGAGTTCCTGGCAAAAAAGACCCAACCCTACCTAGCATTTCTCTTACTTTTTTTCAGTAACTTTTTATTTATTTTCATTTGGTATATAATATGATGCATTTCATTATGGCATTTTCATACAGATATATCATTCTACCTCGCTCATATTTACCTTCTCACTACCCTTCCCTCATCCCCCTTCCCCCCTTTTCACTGACCCCCTTCTTTTTTTTCTTTACTAAGAAATTTTTTATTCATTTTACATACCAACCACAGATCCCCCTCACATGCCTCCTCCCACTCCACCCCCACCCAGCCTTCCCCCTCAACCCATCCCCCATCCCCTCCTCAGAAAAGGTAAGGCCTCCAATGGGGAGTCAGGAGAGCCTGGTACATTCAGCTGAGGCAGGTCCAAGCCCCTCCCCCTGCATCAAGGCTGTGCAAGGTGTCTCACCATAGGTAGTGGGCTCCAAAAAGCCCCCTCATGCACCAGGGATGGATCCTGATCCTACTGCCAGGGGGCCCCCCAAACAGACCAAGCTATACAACTGTCTCCTATAGGCAGAGGGCCTAGGTCAGTCCCATGCAGGATCCACAGCTGTTGGTCTAGAGTTCATGAGTTCCCACTAGCTTGGTTCAGTTGTCTCTGTAGGTTTCCCCATCATGATCTTGATGCCTCTTGCTCATAGAATCCCTCTTCCCTCTCTTCGACTGTACTTCACTGACCCCCTTCTTTCTCCCAAGTAATTCCCCTTCTGCTTTCATGTCATATGTATGTATGATATGTAAATATATGTGTGTGTGCTTATATTTTAAAATAGAGTCTACATAGGAAAGAAAACACAGCCTTTTTTTTAACAGTCTCTCACTATGTCGCCGGAATTGGCCTGGAACCCTGAACTCTGGCCTTGCCTCCCAGGTGTTGAGATTTCAGGCAGGTCCCTATGCCAGGCTTCCTGCTGGCACTTCTAAAGCTGTACTCATTTTACCTTAGGATCAGGAAAAGGTCCCTTCAGGCAGAAACCCTGTCTTAAGACATGTTGTTGTTCCTTTAGGAGAAATGAAAGTCTTATGAACCTAGAGGAAATGGAAGGACAGAATGGTATAAAAACTCAAGAAAAAGGATGAAGCCAATATATAAGCAGAAAAATACACAAGTTTTGTCCTTCAGTGCATTTGGGTACCGCTAATTGCTTTTGTACTCAAACCACCACCCCCCAATCAGGTCCCCTGGGCCGAGGTTTCTCACAGAGCTGGGGTCTAACCAGGACCTTAGCATCCTAAACAAGCACACTACCTCTGACTGTGTTCTTGATGGGCTTTTCCTGAGTACCTCTCATCTCAATGAGAATGAATTGTGATGCTTCTAAGTTTTTCCTTTCTGTATGTATAAACGTAGACCTTTATCATCATCCTTCAAAAATATAATTGTGTTTTATCCTACAGCTGACAAAACAGTGTTTAAGAAAGAATTACTATCTGGTGTGAAGTGCTTCAAAGGTGAGTGAACAAAAGAATAAGAACAATAAAATTTGAGACTTTCTTTAAGGTATAAAATAACAAAACTATGAGTTTTATTCAATAATTATTTGCTATCTACTAGGTATTTAAGAATCATCTGGAATATAAAATAATGTGTAGAAAAATGGACTTATACATTTTTTACTACCTTACCTCTTGTTTTCCCTGTGTACATGTCTATTTTTCATTAAACTCTTACTTGGTGTTTTATTCATTTTACATTTAATACTCAAATATCGTTTTCAGAATTTTAGATTCTTGCTAATTTGATTCCATGAAAATGAATGTTTTCATTCATTATTAAAAATAAAAAAAGGTTTTTTTATTTTTTATTGTCATGAAAATGAAAGGTTATTATATTACCTGAAGTCCTCTGAGAGGAGGGAACTCAATTAAGAAAATGCTTCCATAGGATCACTGTAGGCAGGCCTGTAGGGCATTTTCTTAATTAGTGATTGATGAGAGAGGGCCCACCCCTTTGTGGGTGGGGCCATCCCTGGGCTGCTGGTCCTGAGTTCTATAAGAAAGCAGACTGAGCAAGCCATGGGGAGCAAGTCAGAAAGCAACTCCCCTCCATGGCCTCTGTATCAGCTCCTGCCTCCAGGACTCTCCCCTGCTTGAGTTCTGGCCTGACTTCTTTTGATGATGAACAGTGATACAGAAGTGTAAAAAAACCCTTTCCTCCCCAGCTTGCTTTTGGTTATGGTGTTTCATCACAGCAATAGAAACCTTAACGAAGACATATATCATTATTGCTTCCAAACTTCGAATTTCTTATCAGGGCCATTTGTCCATTATCCTGCTAGAGTATGAACATTTATTTCTAATAATTAAAATAATTAAATGTGTTTATAGTTAATATTATATATTAATTTTATATAAACACATTGTCATATACATAATAAATATTTTCCCAGTTGGTTATTTGCATTTTATTTTCATATGCTGTATTGAAATAAAATGGAAAAACAATTCACATGCTATCAGATTCATTCACTTAAAGTATACAACTCAAGGGTTTTTAGTACACTATTAAGTTGTACAATTTCACCACAATCAAGTTTACAACACTTCACCCCAAAATGCACTCTACCCATTAGCGGTGACTACACCTACCCCTAGTCCTCTAGGCCTAGGGAACTATGATCAACTTTGATATATGGGTATTTTTCATTTTTGTGTACTTAATTTTATCAACCACTTCTTTTCTGGCCTCTCCTTATTTTCCCATGGTTCACTTTTTTTTTTTTTTTTTTTTTTTTTTTTTTTTTTTTTTTTGGTTTTTCGAGACAGGGTTTCTCTGTGTAGCTTTGCGCCTCTCCTGGAACTCACTTGGTAGCCCAGGCTGGCCTCGAACTCACAGAGATCCGCCTGGCTCTGCCTCCCGAGTGCTGGGATTAAAGGCGTGCGCCACCACCGCCCGGCCCCCATGGTTCACTTTTTTAACATTTAATTTTTAACTCACCTGAAATACAATATATTATATTATATTATATTATATCATATCATATCATATCATATCATATTTATTTTATTATATTTATTATATTATATTATATTATATTATATTATATTATATTATATTATATTATATTATATTATATTATATTATATTATATTATGTGTGTAATATATTATATATAACATATTATATAATATACATGTTGACACTTTATAAATAACTCATATTTCAGATTGAGTCAATAAAAACCATGACAGTAATTTGGGGTTTTTGTTGTTGTTGTTTTTGTTGTTGTTGTTTTTCAAGACAGGGTTTCTCTGTGTAGCTTTGCACCTGTCCTGGAACTCACTCTGTGGCCCAGGCTGGCCTTGAACTTACAGAGATCCACCTGCCTCTGCCTCCCGAGTGCTGGGATTAAAGGCGTGCGCCACCACCGCCCAGCATGCTAGTAGTTTTTAATAATTCTTTCTCATTAGCTATAGTTTTCCTTTTATATAAAAGTATATTTGGGAGGTCATTTTTTTGTTACTGTAGTAAGTTTTAAATCTTACTTTTTATCCAGAATAACTTGATTATTCTTTTCGCCTAGCTCACCAGAATTGCCGAAGTGTACTTTTTCTCCCTGGGGTATCTCTCAGAAGTCTAACTAAGGAAGCACAATCCTGACTGCCCTGTGACTTGCTATCATTTGTGCTTTCACTTCTGGGGAGGAGTTGACAGTCACAGCCTTTCATCTTGCAACAGCTTTACTGTTTCTTGTTTTCATTAAGGAGGGAAAGTTAACGTCCATGATGTGAAGACTGTTCTTCAAAACACTGGTTTCAAACTGGAAGCAAAAGAGCTGAAGGACCTGCAGTCCCGCCTGCCGGTGACTGGTGAGCCTTTACCCCGCCTCTCTCCCCAGACAATGGCCTGTCTGCCTGCAGGCAGCAAGGGAAGAGAAGGCAGAGAAAAACAGGGCAGAGAGAATGTTGGCTTCCCGACAGAACCATGCTGCTGACAACTGCAGACGACTGGTCAATGTAGAAACTTACCGAGTGTGGAGACTTGAGAGGGAGGGGGACAGTGACACAGAATAAAGAGAAAAAATACTGTTCAACAATTGAAAATGTGTGGGCCAGAGTGGCACAGCACTCAGGAGACAGAAGCAGGTGGATCTCTGTGTGTTTTATGCCAACCTGGTCTACATAATGAGGTCCAGGCTAGCCAGGACTACATAATGAGAGCCTATTTAAAAAAAAAAAAATTGAAAATGCATTTCCTGATTATTAATGCTATTAAATCTTTAAGAAATGTATCTGAAAACTATGAAGCCAACCAGCAAAGATGTCAGTGCCTTGTTAGGGGCCCTTAATTGTTTTGACTCTTAATTGTTTTGACAGTTATTAGTTATCAATATTTATTGTGTAACTATAACACATTTTATAGAAACTAAAACACATTTTAATAATATTTATATATGAGTTCTTTAAACTCTTATTGCTGTTATTTTTGGAGACAGGGTCTCATTGCATAGCCTGGTGAGGAAATTATATGCAGCCCCAGGCTGGCTTCAAACTCCTGATTCTCCTGCCTCAGTCCTAAGTGCTGGGATTACAAGTGTGTGCCGCAAAGCCTGACTCGCTACAGTCTTTGAAAATAGCAATAAATTTATTACTTGATAAAATACATTTTGTGAAAATATTTCCCCAAAACAAAGCCAAAAGGTGAGAATAATTGTCTTAAATTATTATTAATCATTTTAATGTATAGCTAGACTCCCATATATACTTTCTCATGCACTCTGCTGGAATATTTTGATTATTTCATTTCATTCTGGTTTTGAAGGAGTACTGGGGATTGAATGTAGGGCCTTACACATACATGGTAGGCATGCACTCAACCACTGAGTTGCAGTCTCAGCCCTTGTTGGACTAATTTAGTTGCGGTAAAAATATATATAAATAACCTGAATTCATACATATGCACATATTTGGCAAGAGATGCATCTGATAGCCTTTTCAAATATATCTTTCCTTGCTATTATCCCAAAACTCAACAAGTAGCTTCTTAAAACTTAGCTAGCATATGGGATCAAAAACTCTCTCAGTGACCCTTCTGTATACTTAGTTACACTAAAGCATATTAGTCTCGCTAGCCTTTTATCTTCACCCATGCATGATCTCTTAACAGCATGCTTTGGTCATTTGCACAATACTGACTAATTATACCACTCCTATAAATACTACATTTAGTTATTCAAAATTTTTTAAATCAGATTTATGACTAAGGAGATAGCTCAGTCCATAAAGAACTTTCTGCACAAGCATGAGGACCCGAGTTAAATTCCAGAACCCTCATAAAAAGCAGGACATTGCACACACACTTGTAAGCACTGAGGAAGTGGAGAAGGGACTTGCTGGCCAGCAATCCTGACATAATTGGTCCCAGGTCCCAGTGAGAGACCTTGTCTCGAAAAATATGGTAGATGACTCCTAAGGAATGACACCCAAAGTTGAACTCAGGCCTCCACACACACATGAGCACACCATGCCACACATCACACACACACACACACACACACACACACACACACACACACACACATCCACACACACACACTCAAAAAAAAAAAAAAAGAATGAACACCTTTGTTGCTTTCTCAAGGACATTCTTAAGTGAAACTGACATCTTACTATAAAAAACATAGCCCAGGACAGAATGACGGCTAATGCCTTCAGATGCCGTTAATTCAAAGATGGCAGGAGTTTTCCCCAATCACCCCTGCAAATGGCGACACTGTGGAAAAGGTGCAGAGTGCAGATGACTCAGGAGGCTGGTGGACCACACTTTGAGAAGTGCTGCTGTTTTAGCATGCCTCTACATCCACACTGCACAAGAGGACTAGGTCTCCCTACACCAGCAAAACTCCACTCCCAGAATGCTGTGAGGAAGAAAAGAAAAATAATAATCACTGAATGGATATACACTTATAGCTTGAATCTTCTCTATTACTTGTTTTTGTTGATTTAGAAGATAAAAATTCTGGGCCGAGCGGTGGTGGCACATGCCTTTAATCCCAGCACTCAGGAGGCAGAGGTAGGCGGACCACTGTGAGTCGAGGCCAGCCTGGTCTACAGAGCCAGGACAGCCAGAGATGTTACACAGAGAAACCCTATCTCAAAAAACCAAAAATAAAATAAAAATTCCAAACAAAAGCATGAAAACTTGCTGTAATTCTATATGCCACATCTCAAGAAATTTATATGATTTTTTTAAATCTGTCTTCATCTTTGAATCTAAATTTTGAATTTTCCTGCAGAACATGAAAAGGTTGACTTGGATGTGTTGATGGATGCAGCAAAATCTTTCACAGGTGAGATTTCATGTAAGATGTAATTGGTGTAAGACTGAGACCCTGATCTGGGTAGGAAATTGCCTTTCTTTAGAGTCAGGCTACCCCTCCATCCAGTTTTGTCTCAATGACAGCAATTTTGAGTATTAGAAATTTAGGAGAAGTATAGACCTCTCAGAGAGAAATATTAACTTCAATATTTGTGTCTGTACAGTGTTTATTTCACTAGTGTTTGAAGAAACAAAATATACATTACCATAGTGAAGCTGAATACAAAATTTTTGCATCAGGGTTATGATCAGTATGAACAGTCAGTCCCATAAATCAGGCCATTAAGTAGAAATGAGAGATTTTTACATGTAAGTAGAATTATGTAAGTCCCATGCCGTCTGTCTTAATGTTCTCATACTTTTATTTAAAAAAAAAAACACAGTCTAAGTAACATATAATCAGTAGATAATTCTTTTTCAACCCTGTGGAGTCTGGAAAGCCCACACCAACACACTTGCATACTCAGTGTCTGCTGCGTTTCGGGCCACTTCCTGATTTAGTGCCTTGGACACTGTGTCCTCACTTTGTGGGGGATGTGGAAAGGGAAAACCAAGGGCCTCCTGCTTTGTGAGCCTCTCCAGAGGCCTGTAACCCCATGCAGGAAAAGCCTCGTGACCTCACTTCCTCCTTAAGCTCCTGCCTCTTGTTACCACTGTACTGAATATGAAGTTTCAATGTGAACTTCAGAGAGAACTCAAACTGTAGTGCTGCCACGGTCACCGGTTGTCACACAGTGCTGCTCCATGCTGTACTGACCCCCAGCACAGGAGACAAGTGTTGTCCTCTAACCCGACTTAAAACTTGCTTTCAAATACTGACTTTCAAATCACTCCAATTTAGTGGTGTTGGCTCACATCTTTGTGCTTGCTTCACCCAGCAGCTAGAGATAGTGCTGTCGTTCATTACATTATCTCTCAACCTGAAATAACTCCCATTTACTTAAAGGAGAAAGAGTTGACACCAAAGACTTAAAAGACGTTCTGGGGAACATGGGAATTGCCCTCACTGAAAAAGAAGAATTGAAGCTATTGAAATCTCTGCCCATCACTAGTGAGTATTTAGCATGCTGCTGGTGTTCAGAGAAATGAATGGGGTACTGTGGGCTTCTGGGTGAGAACAGTGGTGAATAAGAAGCCTTTGTCTTGTTTGTGTTTTAATTTGAAACTGAGAAACTTCTATTCAACCAGTGAGCCCTGGCTAAATTCTGTAGCCCCGCCCCCAGCTCCCTGCAGTGTATCTCCCATCTGTCTGTCCCCTGGGAAACCTCCCATCTCCCCACAATCCAGCTAAAAGTAAATTCCTGTGAGCAGGGTCCCTCCAGCATCATGCATCTGTACAGACAGTATCCACTGTGTTGGTGGCATAACCCACAAGCCCCTCAAAAGTTCTACCTCCAGATCACCTGCATGGCTCATGGTGGGGAAAAAAGACCTAGAGCTATCCTGACCTTCACCTGTACATCCTGACCAGTTCCAAGGACCCCGACAGAGCCATTCTTCCCTGCCCCAGCTCCCATCCTTCCTATCCCAATTGTCCCCCAAGCAAGGGCAAGCTTGCACATTGGCAAGGGTACTCTTGCCCCCTGGAGGGAGCAGCAGCATCCTGAGCAGTCAAAGCTCAGTGCCCATCTGAATTCTTGTTGCATGCACCTAAGACTGCCCATGCCCTGTGTCTGCAATCTCCCCCATCTGAATTCTTACCACATGCACCTAAGGCTGCCCATGCCCTGTGTCTGCAATCTCCCCCATCTGAATTCTTACTGCATGCACCTAAGGCTGCCCATGCCCTGTGTCTGCAATCTCCCCCATCTGAATTCTTGTTGCGTGCACCTAAGGCTGCCCATGCCCTGTGTCTGCAGTCTCCCCATCTGAATTCTTACTGCATGCACCTAAGGCTGCCCATTCCCTGTGTCTGCAATCTCCCCCATCTGAATTCTTACTGCATGCACCTAAGGCTGCCCATGCCCTGTGTCTGCAATCTCCCCCATCTGAATTCTTACTGCATGCACCTAAGGCTGCCCATTCCCTGTGTCTGCAATCTCCCCCATCTGAATTCTTGTTGCATGCACCTAAGGCTGCCCATGCCCTGTGTCTGCAGTCTCCCCTTCTGAATTCTTACACATGCACCTAAGGCTGCCCATGCCCTGTGTCTGCAGTCTCCCCTTCTGAATTCTTACACATGTACCTAAGACTACCATGCCCTGTGTCTGCAATCCCCCCCATCTGAATTCTCACCACATGCACCTAAAGCTGCCCATTTGCTGCATCTGCCACCTCTCCCACCTGCCTCCTCATTGTTCTCTCAAGAAACCAATCTCAATAATTGCCTCCTCCTTCCCTCCCTTACACCCTCCCTTCTTTCCTTCCCTGCCTCCCTCCTTCCCTTTGATACTGCTGGTGATCAGGATGGTCTCTTCTGCATGCTAAGCAAGCCCTCTAACACCCTGCAGCTTTCTTAGCACTTTGGTTCTGTGAAAGTATAAAGGAGAGGCAAATGGCCTGGACTGGAGACTACATCAAACATGTGCCAGACACCGAGGGTCCACAGGCTGGAGCTTTCTGGGGACAGATGGAACCCATAAGGATATGTTGTACTGGTGGATATTATCTGTCCCAATTTTACTTCACCTTCGCTTATGGAGTTAATTTAGCAAGTAATTTAAAATGTTTGTTTTTATTACTGCTCAAATTGACACTTTTAGAGAGACTCATTACATACCTCAGACTGGCCTTGAGCTTACTATGTAGCCCAAGTTGTCCTCAAATTGTAATCCCCTGTCTCAGCTTCTCAAATGCTGAGAGGAGGCATATACTATTGTGCCTGACTGGTAACTATTTTTAATATTATCCTTTTATATGGTCTGCCATTTGGGGTAAACATATAAATATGCCTCCTGGGCAGAGAAAAGGGTTGGAAAGACAGAGGCTATAGTGCAATGCCAGGAGAAACCAAGAAGAACGCCGAAGAGAAAAATGTGTCTGTAACGCGCCTTACCAGCTGCCATGTGCTCCAACTAAGTCTTAGACTCAGCGCATTGAGCACAATCCTTCTGCTGTTATTTAAGGATGAAACAAATTTCTAGGTGAGTCATATAAAAATATTATAAAATTATAGACTTTCACGGCTAGAGGTGTCACTTAGTGATAGCTGCTTGCCTCACTTGTACAAGGCAGAGAGAGAGAGAATATATTACAGAGATTCTCATCCTTCTCCTTGTGTTTCGCCATGTCTTACAGAAGATGGAACAGTCTATAAGAAGAGATTACTGGACAGTGTGGCATCAATCAAAGGTGAGAATCCCGAGAACAGGACCTGCAATTCCTGTGCTTTGCAATTACGTTGTTTAAAGGTCTCACTGATTAGAATCTTGCTATTCCATGATTCCGCTAGTTTCGCTGATTCTGAATATGTCCTCGGAACTCACCTACGGCTTACAGCGTAACATTCCTCTTTTGGCTTACGTATCTGAGGAAGGTGTTGGTGCTGTGTCACTGTAGCAGATTTGAGGTTATCTTTGTCACAGTGTATCTTCATCTGTGATCACTTCACCTGGAAGTTGCACCTCAGTGAGGGGGCTTTTCTCTTCCCAACTCCAACAGTGACTGATCTGGCTTGTAAAACAGCCAATAGTTCACTGTCCCCCTGGGACTGGATCCGTGGTCTTTAATATCTATAGTCTTTTTTAAGGATTTAATGTTTAAATTATATGTCTTGTATGTGGGTATATGCACGTGTGTGCAGGAGCCCATGGAGTCCAGAAGAGAGTCACCTCCCCTGGGGCTAGAGTGACTGTGAGCTGCATAATGTGTGTGCTAGGAACCAACCTGCAGGCTTCTGGGAGAGCAGAAAGTGCTCTGAACCACTGAGCCGTCTCTCTGGCCCCGCTCTCCATGTCCCTAAAGCTGTCATCTTCCACTTTGGGAATTCCTTGTGTTTACTTCCATCTCCTTATTTCTTAAGGGAAAAAAGTCCAAGTCTGTCATCTACCACTCATTTTGAAGAATGCAGAATTTGAACTTGAGAAGGAAGACTATGATGATCTCATGAAACATCTGCCTGTCGATGGTGAGTATTTCAGATACCACTGTCCTAGAAGGAAGTCAGGGTTTCTGTATAAGTTCTTAGAAGAGTTTAAAAAAAAAAAAGTCAGTCTCTTAGGAAAGCTTACAAAACATTTCACCATGTCCACAGAGTCTGTGCAGCCAGTTAATGAATGCACTTCACCCATATTTCTTCCTCTGTCTCTTCCTTCTCGTGTTTACAAGTTTCTGCTTATTTTGTCTTCTACTGTAGCCTGTCTTCTACTGTAGCTTTGACAGGAATGTCAAAGAGGCAAACCAGTGTAATCCATTAGGAAGAAAATAAGAGATGAGCTGCTGCCCAGGGTCTTCCTGAGAGTGTTCTGGAATTCAGACCCAGAACCAGTGGCCAGAGGGAGAGAATGACTGTAGCTCTCAGAACGGTACTCAGTGATGGGTGATGTCCTTAAACTCCCAGCCTCGCCTTTCCATTTCTTCCCGAGCTAAAAGATTTAATAATAAAAATCATGAAAGATGGCTGAATCCTAGCTCTTTACATTTTACTTTTTTTTTTTTTTGGTGACTTTTCCAAATCTAACTGGGTCTCTGTGCCTGGATTGTCTTTCCTTACAGAAAATAAACTGGTTGATTTAAGTGTGTTAATGGATGAAGCAAAAACTTTTACTGGTAAGTAGTGATAGTTAAAAGGCATTCATTATTAACTAAGGCCTTAATATTTTGTAAAAAAAAAAATATTGTCTTCAAACATTAATTTTCTTTTGAGGCGACTACTGACATGGTAAATTAACTCTCCTACAAAATTAAGAGTTGAATATTTGTTCCACAATCTTCTATTTGATTTAGGCTTTACTTGTATAGAACGCGTGCGTGCATGCATGCGTGCGTGCGTGCGTGCGTGCGTGCGTGCGTGCGTGCGTTAGATTTGGGGAGGCACTACTGGGGATTAGACATGCTGTCAAAACAGACAAAGCATAAATCAGTAATATTCAGTCTCAAGGTGGGATTTGATCTGTATCTGGAATGTGAGCTTTCCCTTTATTAAAGTATAAATCCTCATTCTGTAACAAATGATATATTCACATGTCCCTGAATTTAAGTAGCTTAACAATTTCTCTTGAAATTTCCCCCCTCTGGGGCTGGAGAGATAGCTTAGAGGTTAAGAGCACTGACTGCTCTTCCAGAGGTCCTGAGTTCAATTCCCAGCAACCACATGGTGGCTCACAACCATCTGTAATGAGATCTGTCACCCTTTTCTGTATACATAATAAATAAATAAATCTTTTAAAAAGAAAGAAATTTCCCTCCTATAATATAGAGCTATGACACGTAAGTAATTTAAATAATTTTTCCATGATCTAAAACCACCCATGCTTGGGGCATAGCTCAGTCCAGAGAGCTCTTGCAGGAGGAACTGAGTATTAATCCCAGAACCCACAGAAAAAGCTGGGCATAAACTTGTAATCCAAGTGCTAGGGATACAGAGCGGGGAAATCCCTGGAGTTCACTGACAGTCAGCATTGCCTACTCGGCAAGCCCCACTTTCCAGTGAGAGACACTGCCTCAAAAAAAAAAAAATGGACACCTCCTGAGGATCAAAGGCTGACTTCTCACCTCTACATGCACATGTGCACAGAAGTGCTTGCACAGCCATATACACAATAAGTAAATAAAATCATTTATCCCTTGCTAAAATTCTTACCTGTTAAAAATCTGCATCTTTCTAAAGGGAAGAAGGTTGAGATTGAAAATCTGAAAAATGTGCTGAGGAGAGTGGGACTGGTGCTCCCCGACAAAACATACAAGGATCTGCAGAAAAACCTGGCAGTTTACGGTGAGTACTGAAGTCACTCCTTCAGACTTGGATTTAGGAGCATGCTTCGGGAATTATACATTGGCATCCAGGAAAACCCATGAAGAAAACCCAATTCTCACTGTCAAGGAAATCCTGTTGCCTGTTCTTGAAGGTTGATAATATCTGTCACAAACCTCTACCATCAAACTGAAGTGTCCCTGCTGCCCCGAGCGTACTGCCAGCTCTATATGATGACCAAGAAGAGGACTGGGGAGACGGCTCAGCGATTCTGAGTACTTGTTGCTCTTGCAGAGGACCAGGGTTCGGTTCTCAGAACCCACAAAACAGTTCAAACCCATCTGTAATTCTAATTCCAGTGGATTTGACGCCCTCTTCTGGACTCTGCATGCTCCACATGCACGTAGTGCACAAAACATCCACCTACAGTTTTTAAAAAAAGAGAAAAGAAAACGGAGAAAGGGGAAATTAAGACTTTTTAATTCAGCCAAGATATGTATTTATAACTCACTTCTTCATATTTGGTTTCATTCTTACATGATGGTAAAAGTAAACTTCCAAACAAGTCAGAAGGCGGTTGGAGGGGTTTTTTAAAATCGTCGTCCTGTGTCATCTGCCTTTGTCAGTCTTCCCAACAGTTAACTGATATTCTGAATGCTATCTCACCTTACAGCTGGTGGGAAGATATATAAGAAGCGACTGCTAAAGTATGTGACGGGTCTCAAAGGTGAGTGAGCTGCGTGGTAGAAAAGCAAGTAAAAAATCCTTGGCCAGGTGTAGTGGCACATGCCTACAATCCTTCCTCTTAGGACGCTGAGGCAGGAGGATTGTGAGTTCAAATCTTGTGTGCACTATGTAGCAAGGCCCTGTATCAGGGCAGGGGGGAGTTCATGTTTAGTGTTAGCTCTTAAAATATTCCAGCTTTGCTTCCTGCCAATTTATTGATCCATCAGTATGACTTATAACTTGCTTCTCATGTTTGAATGCATTAACTTTGAGAGACATAGGTTAAGTATCGTAATACTGTAGAAAACTCCTAACAGTTTTCTGGTTAGATTTGTGTAGGCTGTCTGTTTCAACCATAAGACATAAATTAGACTGGCCTTCTCCTCTGTTGATTTCTCATGGATACTGGAGACCCCTGGATTGGTTTAAAGGGAATACCCTATTTCTATTTTATATACTCTATGCAAACTACTGTCCTCCTAATTTTGTGTGTGTGTTATTTGTTTTTTCTTTTTGTTTTTGGCGGTAGGACCTTATTCTGTAGCCTGGACTAGCCTGAAATTTGTTTTGTAATCCAGGCTGGATTCCAATTTGCAGCAGTCCTCTTATCTCACCCAATTAAGTACTGGGGTACAAGTATAACCCACCACACCCAGCTGTTTTTTTTTAATTAGGAGACTATATTTTAAAATGCTACCAGAGGCTGAGACAGGAGGATTTCAAGTTTGAAGGCATCCTGTACAACTTAGTCACACTCTATCTCAAAAACAATTTTAAAGACATGATGGGGGTGTAATTCAGTGGTAGAGTGCTTGCCTAGCGTGTGCAAGTCCTGGATTCAATTCTCAAAGAAAAAGAAAAACTATCAGAAAATTCTCCAACTCAAGAAAAATAACTAATCAAAAAGTAAAGGCCAAGCAGGGCAGGGGCTAGAGAGACAGCTCAGTGGCTAAGATCACTTACTGCTCTTATAGAGGACCCATGTTTAATTCCCAGCACCCATGTGGTGGTCACAGCCATCCTTAACTCCAGTTCAAGAGGATCTGATGCCCTCTGCTGACCTCTGTGGGTACCAGACATGCACATGGTGTACATAAATACATGTAGGCAAAATACTCATATATCTAAAATAAAGTAAATAAATCTAATTGACATGCCAATGTGGTTGAGGGAAATCCGATGGGGTCCTAACCTGAAATGAAAGCTACCACCAATGACTACTGAGAGAAAGAGGCTTAGTCTTCCTAGGAATGAGTCCCCTAACTTGTCATTCAATACCAATACCAAGTGGTCAGTCCCAGATAGATAGATAAGCCGGGCGGTGGTGGCGCACGCCTTTAATCCCAGCACTCGGGAGGCAGAGCCAGGCGGAGCTCTGTGAGTTCGAGGCCAGCCTGGTCTCCAAAGCGAGTTCCAGGAAAGGCGCAAAGCTACACAGAGAAACCCTGTCTCGAAAAACCAAAAAAAAAAAAAAAAAACCCAGATAGATAGATAGATAGATGATAGATAAATTTATGTGTGCAATACTAAATGAACTCAGTAGATTGTATTTATGTATTTATTCATATGTATGTAACAATAATTAAAGAATAAATGATCATGAATTTGAGAGGGAGACTTGGGAGGGGTTGTAAGGAGAAGGAGGATAGTGGAATTTATATAACAATATTTTAATTTTTTAAATATTCTTGAAGTTTGTAAAATGTCAGGCAGAGCAATGCCTGTTTGATTCCTAGCACCCACACTTTTAAAAAGGCAAAAGTCTCCTTCTCTTCCACAAATGTAATCCTTCCAATAAAGACAAATATTATTAACAAGTGAATGCTTATTTCCCTCAGTTTTTTTCTACTGAGGGAACAGATATATCTAAATCTTGGACATGCATGCAGTAACAGTTTCCTTGGGCTCTAGTGTTTAACTTCCCAGTAGGAGTATTTGATGTATGAGCATGATCAGTGCTTTTCACCCATAAGAATCAATGCTCACATTCTCATCCCATGCCCTTCTTTCCCAAGGGCCACGGGCCAAAATAAAAAAAATGGAATCTGTCTTGGAAAACCTGGGAGTTAAGATCAAAGATGAAGAACTTGAAGAACTAATGGCCCAGCTACCATCTGATGGTGAGTATTGCAGATACTACCCTATTCAATAGTCAGAGAAATACAGCCCCTTCTCTGAACCCCGATTCTGTCTCCTCAGCTCCTGTTCCTCCTCTTAGAATTACAGTGTCTTGTAGCTTAGGGGTTTTAACCTTACTATGCCATGCACCTGTTTCTACATCTGCTACAACAGTATCTTTCTAAGTAAATTTTTTGAAGCACAAGATTACAAAGAAACAAGTCATACTAAAATATGGTTTATCAAAACATTCATGTTACAAATGGTTAATACTTTTTAAAGCCCTTAAGTTCTTCTAGCAGGTCCAATTGTTGTCACTTTAAAATAGAGATGGGCATAAGCAACATTTCAACATATTTGCAACAATAACACTGACATGAACCTTGGGTGATTTATATTAGTGACAAAGTTACAGATTCTGCTGTCTATGGTTTGCTGTCTGAAGAATCTGTAAAAAAAAAAAAATGCTAAGTTTCAGTTAGTGGTTAGTGAAAAATGAGTGTATATTTTTTCCCATTCAAGCTCAAGAAATCCCTGAATTTTATCAATATATGAACACCAGGTTAAGAACCCCTGATAGTCATCCTGACCTCCTGTTCCTGACTTCTCTGTAAGCAGTACTCTAACAAAGCAATAATGGAGACTATATGAAGCAAGTTAAACAAGGAAATAACTCTATAGGCGGATTCTCCTCTTGCAGCAGCCACTTCCAAATTACCACATAGAGGCTTAATATTACTTATAAATGTTCAGCCAATAGCTCAAGCTTGTTACTAGGTAACTCTTACATTTAAATTAATCCATATTTCTACTTATGTTTTGCCATGTGGCCTTTTCTCAGTACAGCGTGCCCATCTTGCTCTCTCTGTCTGCTGGCATCTCTCCTGACTCAACCCTCCTTCTTCCCATCATTCTCAGTTTGGCTTTCCTGCCTAACTTCCTGCCTGGCTGCTACTGGCCTGTCAGCTTTTTATTAACCAATGAGAGTAACACATATTCTCAGTGTACAGAAGAATTATTCCACAGCCTAATTCAGTGGCTGGAGAGATGGTTCAGAAGTTAATACATGCTGCTCTTGCAGAAGATCCCAGTTTGATTCCCTGCACCCATGTAGGGCAGCTCACAACTGTCAGTAATTCCAACTCCAGGGGCATCAAACACCTCTGGTGTCCATGGACACCTGCTCATGTGCACATACCCACACAGACACAACACACATGATCAAAAAATGTATACGCATGCAGACCCATATGCAATGAGATGAAAATCGGCCTTGTTTCTCTGAAATGATGTAGATGAAAGCAAGGGCTCTGAGCTGGAGAATGGCACTGTTGATTAGGAAAAATTATATATGGACTAAAACATATTGCTGTGCCTTCGTTCTGTAAACATATTGAACATGGTGTCCTGATGCCACTGAAGCACATGCTGTGGGAGAAAAGAGCATGAAATGCCAACTCCAGCTTCTCTCCAGCATGAAGGCCTTTATACCTCTCCCTCTGACTTGTTATTTATGCAGTAACCACTCACCACTGCCATCTTCCTTCTTTAGATTCCATGCTTAATATCACATAACATTACAAAGCCTCAGAACTCCTACCAAACATACTTGGCAAAAACCAAGCCACCTCCTTACTCTGTACTTACTCTTGAATAACTCAAGAGGGCTGGAGAATCATAAAACCAGGCTAATAGAATTCACTTCAGATAACAGTCACAGATTTCCAAGACAGTCCCTAACACTTCCAAGGAAGTCTCTGCTACATTTTCCAAGGACTGTTGTCTTACTCTCAGAGATAATTTCACACCTTCTCTACTCAATTTCTAGTACCTTCTCACCTTAACTCTTAGATGATGACATCACTTCAGATTTCATAAAGAAAATAGATGCAATTAGACAAGAAGGTCCTTGTTTTCCTTCCCTCCTTTTTAGGAGCCATCTGTACCCAGGGCCATATGCCCTACCTTTTATCTTGCTATAAAGGGAAAAGAATCACTTCTACAAAGAACTAGCTTTTCCACTTGTGCATGGATCCTGTTTCTTCTTGCTGTCTTAGAGACCTGGTTCCTACAGGGCTCCCCTCTTATTGCCTGTATCATGAGTGTCTTCCTCACTATACTTTCTCTCTGCATGTTGCCATTGATACTGATATGCTAGTCCATCACACTTGTCTCCTGTTACATCCTGTCCTTAGTTCCTCTTGACAACAGACTACTCAAAAAGTGATACACTCCTGTAGTACCAGCACTTGAAAGGTGGAGGCAGAAATCCAAGGTAATCCTTAATGAAATACTGAGTCTGAGGCCAGGCTGTCTCTGCTTCCTCATCTTCTGTTCCTTAACACTCTAACTAGGTTTTCATCCCCAGCATCACATTTACCCAGCTCTCAACAAGATCATCAGTGACCTATCTTTGCCCAGGTTCATGGTCAAGTCTGTTCTCACCTCACTTGGCATCTTTACAACACTTGCCACATGTGGTCACCCCTTTCTGAAAACTTTTTTCCAGACTTGAGAGGTCCTGTTCTCACATGATGTTCTTATTCACTCACTATCTTTGTCTCCATTTTCCTTTCTAACTCTTCCTCTCATACAAGATCTCCAAATAACACAGTGCCAGGGCTGGATCCATGAGTGCCTTTTTCATCTACACCTTCCTAGGTGATCACATCCAGTGCCGTTGGGTCATATGCTATCTCCAAGCTGATTAAGTACATGTATTTCTCTAGGTCAGTCTGAATCAGGACTAGTACATAAAAATTATCCATTTGATGGTTCCATTTAGATTTCTGGAAGACATTAATGATTCAATAAAATTATTAGTTAATTCTTCCAGCCTTCATCCTTCCCATCACCCTGATGATTGGAGAGTGTGGGAAGATGAGACATCATTCCTCTGTTCTCCCTTTCTTCAACCCACATTCACATCTATCTCTACCTGACAAACATGTTCTAAATCCATCCTTTTTTGTTTGTTTGTTTGTTTTGTTTTGTTTTGTTTTGAGACAGGGTTTCTCTGTGTAGCTTTGCACCTGTCCTGGAACTCACTCTGTAGCCCAGGCTGGCCTCAAACTTACAGAGATCCACCAGGCTCTGCCTCTGCTGGGATTAAAGGCATAGGCCACCACCACCCGGCCTAAATCCATCCTTTTTATCGTTGTCTCCATTGCTGCTCTCCTGGCCCCACCCACCATCATCTCTTTCCTTAGCCTGTGAAATAATCTATCTAGTCTCCATTTTTACAAGTTCCTTTTTCTGCATACACCAGCCAGAGTAACCATTTGAAAGCTGAAATCAAATCAAGTTATTCCTTGTCTTCAAGACCTACAATGCTATTACACTACAACCAGAATAAAATCCAAGCTTCATTGTAGCTTACAGGGCCCTGTATGATTGGAGCCTGTTGGGAGCCAAGATGATCCAAGGCTTTCAAAGAGGCCTGATTGAAGGACAAAGGGAATGTTAGTCCTACACTCTTGCCCAGAAGCAGATTTGGCAAAGTCGAAGCTGGGGCTAGAGCCAGTGCCTCAAGGAAGTTAAGGTTTCAGTTCTTGTGTGTAGACGGATTTTTCTTCGGGCTGCCAGTGCACAAATAATGAAATGCAGACTTACTATTAATTATGAAAGCTTGGCCTTAGCTTAGGCTTTTTCCCAACTAGCTCTTATAGCTTAAATCAGCCTATTTCTGTTCATCTACATTCTGCCAAGTGGTGTTACCTTTCTCTGTGCTGCCCATTCTGCTTCCTCCAGCTCTGGCTGCTGACTCTGCCTTTCTTCTTCCCAGAGTCTTCTCTGTTCCCAGAAGTCCTGCCTAACCTCTTCCTGCCTGCCTATTGGCCATTCAGCTCTTATTACACCAATCACAGCACAACATCTTCACATAGTATATAAATATCCCACAAAACCTGGAAACTAGACTTTCCTCCCTTTGAAGGGCTGTATTTATCAGTCCCAGGGCTGCTGTGTGCTCGGCCTATGTGCACTTGAGATATACTGTGTTCCCTGTGTTTACACATCGGATTAGCTTCCTGATGACTTCCTTCCAGTTTTCCCCTTCAAACAGTGTACAAGAGGCTGTACTTCTTTTTGTTGTTGTTGTTTTGGTTTGGTTTTTGGGGTTTTTTTGTTTGTTTGTTTGTTTTTTGGTTTTTTCGAGACAGGGTTTCTCTGTGTAGCTTTGCGCCTTTCCTGGATCTCACTCTGTAGACCAGGCTGGCCTCGAACTCACAAAGATCTGCCTGCCTCTGCCTCCCGAGTGCTGGGATTAAAGGCGTGTGCCACCACTGCCCAGCAAAGCTGTACTTCTTAATAAACTCGGTGGCATGAGTCATCGACTCGTGCCTACCTCCCTACCCTAGCTTTCTGTCTTCTTTGTTTTCTCATCTCCAGTCCTTCCCCTCAACATCTCACTGTTTGGGACCCTTATTCCTGTGGGTTTGAGTCAGGGCCTTTCATATGTTCCTTTCTTCTCATGTCATATTCATTCCCATCATAGTACAACTATACATCATAACCTATTGGAATAGTCTCCCTCCAGTTCTTCACATGGCTAACCCTTCTCATCATTCAATCCAAAACCCAACTGACTCTCCTCAGAGAGGCCTTTCCTGCCCTCCTTATCTAAAACATTCCTATCGTTTATTACTTTTTATTTCAGGGTCCTATTTCATTTTTGGTAGTGAAAAATTATCCCTTTGTTTGTGTGTTCATTGCTTGTCTTCCTCCCTAGATTGTACACTCAGAACGCATCCTCTTCCTTAAGGATGCTCCCTTTAGCACCCACAAGTCCTCACAAAGTACCCAGCACAAGGAAGGTACTCTGTATTTGCCAATTAACTGACAAAATAAAAATCTATAAGGTCAGATTCTCCCTATGCATAACTATGCTAAATCATTTCTTAACTTAGATGACTCTAGTGGTCTCTAAAACAACAGGGGGAAAGATGATATAATAATTTTTCATTTCACAGTATAAGCTTTCTTTGTTTTCAAGATAGCACTGTTAACCATGGATAAACCCATAACATCCTAAGGAAATCTAGAAAAAAGCCACTAAATTCTTAGGTTCTTTATAATTTCAGAAGGTAATGGAGTATAACTTCTATGAATCTTAGAAACATGGAATCATCTTCCCTTAACTTACAGGTAACAGAACAGTGGATCTGAATGATCTGATGGATGTTATCAGTTACATCAAGGGTAAGTCATAATAGGAAACACTTATAAATATCATCTTAAATACTTAGCAATTAATACTGGGCGAGTATCTTTACCATTCATAAAGGTTGCTCTGTTTTTGTATGTGTGTGCTTGGTTGGTTGGTGATTGATTGGTTGGTTGGTTAGTTGGAGGGTTGGTATTTCATTGGTGGTTGGATGGTTGGATGGTTAGTTAGTTGGTTATGTGGTTGGTTAGATGGATGATTGGTTGGTTATTTGTTGATTGGTGGTTGGTTGGTGTAGCCAGAGCCTTTTTCTCTGTCCCGCTTGGTCCTGTAGCAGCTTATAAAATAATCACTCAGAAACTTAACGTTAATTACAAACTGTTTGGCCTATGGCTCAGGCTTATTATTAGCTAGTTCTTATATCTTAAATTAACCAATTTCTACTAATCTATGTATCACCACGTGACTGATGGCTTACTGGTCCTTTCACATCTTGCTTCTTGGGCAACTCACTGGTGTCTCCCCAGCTCTACCCTCTTTTCCCTCTATCTCTGCTTGAATTTCCCACCTGGCTATATCCTGCCTTGCTATAGGCCAAAGCAGCTTCTTTATTAACCAATGGTAATAAAAACATATTCGTAGCATAGAGAAAGACATCCCACAGCAGGTTGGTGGTTGGTTGGTTGATGATTGGTTGGTAGTTGGTTGGTTGGTTGGTTAGTTGGTTAGTTGGTGGTTGATTGGTTGGTTGGTGGTTGGTCGATGGTTGGTTGGATGAATGGTTGGTTGGTTAGTTGGTGATTGGTTGATTGGATGGTTAGATGGTTGGTTGGTTGGTTAGATGATTAGTTGGTGATCGGTTGGTTGGTTGGTTGGTTGGTAGTTGGTTAGTGATTGTTTGATTGGTTAGTTGGTTACTTGGATGGTTGGTTGGCTAGGTGGTTGGATGGATGATTGGTTGGTTGGTTGGTTGGTTGGTTGGTGAATGGTTGGTAGTTGGTAGTTGGTTTGTGGTTGGTTAGTTGGATGACTGGTTGGTTGGTTGGTCGGATGGTTGGTTGGTTAGATAGTTGGTTGGATGGATGGTTGGTGGTTGGTTAGTTGGTTGATTAGTTGGTAGTTTGTTGGTGGTTGGTTGGTGGTTGGTTGGTTGATTAATTGGATGACTAGTTGGTTGGTTAGATGGTTGGTTGGATGAATGGTTAGTTGGTAGTTAGTTGATGATTGGTGATTGGTTGATTGGTTGATTGGTTGGATGGATGGTTGGTTGGTTGGTTAGATAGTTGGTTAGATGAATGGTTGATTGGTTAGTAGATGGTTTGGGGTGGATAGTTGAGAGACTCTTTGGTTTGTTATGGTTTGGTTTTCTTTGGAGGCAGGGTCTCATGAAGACCAGGCTACTGAAACCCACTATATAAGTAAAGATGACCTTGAAATCCCAATCCTCCTGTCTCTATCTCCCAAGTGCTGGGATTATAGCCACATATCACCATGAGTAAATTTTAGATTCTTTTATATGGCATTTTTCCATTTCTGTGGATTCACTGAACTCAAGTAAACCATAACATGTATTTCTACTGATACTTATAGTAATATGTGACATTTTCCCTGAAATTTTCCAATATAGAATCAGATATTGTCTTGGTTAAGGTTTTTATTGCTAAGATGAAACACCATGACCAAAAAGCAAGTTGGGAAGGAAAGAGTTTATCTGACTTATACTTCCATACTGCTGTTCATCATCAAAGGAAGTCAGAACAGGAACTCAAACAGGGCAGGAACCTGGAGGCAGGAGCTGATGCAGAGGCCATGAAGGGGCACTACTTACTAGCTTGCTCATCATGGCTTGCTCAGCCTGCTTTCTTATAGAACCCAGGACTACCAGCACAGGGGATGGCACCACCCACAATTAGCTGGACCCTCCCCCATCAATCACTAATTAAGAAAATGCCTTACAGCTGGATCTTATGGAGGCATTTTCTCACTTATGTTCTCTCTCTCTTCAGGTAACTCTAGTTTGTGTGCTAAGTTGACATAAGACTAGCCAACACAGAAACCAAAACCCATAGAACCAGTCATACCTTTACCCCCAAACAACCTCCTCCTAGAAAAGCATCCTACAGGAATACTTTACTGGTAAAATTTAAAATCCTGTTTTAAGATTTTTGTTCTCATAATAAGTAGTAAGAAGCTGTAATAGATTAGAAATATTTAAGTGTATATATGAGAATCACTATACAAGCCATTAAGTAGTAAGAGAGTCACAAACTTGAGATCAGCCTGAGCTTTATAAAGACTTTGTCTGAAAAAAAAAACTTAAAAGTACAATGTTAGTTAAGTGGGATAGCATGGATTAAAACACCAACTACAAAGATTATATGGAGTAGTCACTTGACTGCATATTTACTGCAACTGGAAGACAACATAAGGTTAGTGTGGTTCCTGCACAATGATGATACACAAATTCAAGGTATATAAAGAACTGTAAAAACCAAACACATAAGCTAGGTCTGGTGGCACACACCTTTAATCCCAGCACTGAAGAGGCAGAGGCAGGTGGATCTCTGAGTTCAAGGCCAGCCTGGTCTACAGATCAAGTTCCAGGATAGCCAGAGCCACACAGAGAAACCCCTTCTCAAAAAAAATAAAATGAAATGAGTAAACACCTAAAATACAACTTACCCAGTTAATTAATAATCTAATAAACTGAATAAAAGTTCTCAAAAAGGAAATGCGAATAACCAATACATGTTTTAAATGGTTCTCAACATCCTTAGCTAGGATAGCTAAGTCAAATCAAAGCTGCTTTGAGACTCTATCTCATCCCAGTCAAAATGGCCTCATCAAAAAAACATACGCGCCAGGCAGTAGTGGCGCACGCCTTTTCCCAGCACTCGGGAGGCAGAGTTCAAGGCCAGCCTGGGCTACCAAGTGAGTTCCAGGAAAGGTGCAAAGCTACACAGAGAAACCCTGTCTTGGAAAAAAAAAAATACGCTAGAGGATGTAGGGAAAGAGGAACGCTTATTCATTGCTGATGGGGATATAAACTGGTGTAGTCAGTGTTGAAGTCAGTCCTCCAAAAGCTGAAAGTAGAACTTCCATATGACACAGTTATCTCAGGGTAAATACTGGCAAGACTCTAATCAATTACCACAGAATACTTGTACATCCACATGCTATTTATAATAGCCAGGAAATAGAACCAGTCTAGATGTCCATCAAAACATGAGTGGATAACACAGGACAATGGATTTTGTTGTTGTTGTTTTTTGTTTGTTTTTTGAGACAGGGTTTCTCTGTGTAGCCCTGGCTGTCCTAGAACTCACTCTGTAGACCAGGATGGCCTCAAACTCACAGACATCCGCCTGCCTCTGCCTCCCAGTGCTGGGATTAAAGGCATGCACCACCACTGCCCAGCAGGACAATGGAATTTTAATCAGCCATAAAGAAAAGTGAAATCATAAAATTTTCAGAAAAAGTGGAAACTGCAAATCATTGTGGTAAATGAATTAATCCAGACTCAGAAAGACAATACAGTCTCTCATTTGTGAAACCTAGATTTAATACTGTGTGTGTGTGTTGTTGTTGTTGTTGTTAAGTATATATTTGTATGTGTTGTTGTTGTTGTTGTTAAGTATATATTTGTAGCTCATAAAACTAGAAAGGGGATCATGAGAGGGGAAGGAGAGATCTTAAGGAAGGTGGGACATAAAGAGGATAGCAGAGTACATGTACTGGGAAAACAGGGGATACTAACTGGGGGAAGCGGAAGCCAATTGGAGATGGGGGAGGGGGAGTGATGAAAGGCAGACCAAAGTAAAATGGCATATGTATGAAGATGCTATAATGAAATCTGTTATTTTGTATGCTGACTTAAAAAACAATTTTAAAAAGTGTTAACATTTTAAAAAATTATGTAGTACCTTAAAAATATTTATAAAGAAATTATTTTAGGTTGAAAAAGCAAAACACAAGCCAAGCATGGTGGCACACACCTATAATTTCAGCACTCAGGAAGCTGAGGCAGGAGAATCACAAATTTGAGATCAGCCTCGTCTTCATAGTAAGATAAAATACAAAATTATATTTAAATTAGGTTTTCACATTATATAAATACAGTCATTATCAAAGATTAGGAAGAAAAACTGATCACTGTTTTTGTGGTAAGGTAGTGGGATTTCTTGCCCTTACCAGCCCTTTATAGTAGCCTTCAGTGTAGTTAAATCTCTTAGAATTATTAAGAAAAACTTTGTCCTTTGTGTTGAGATGAGATGAACTGTGGAATGCATAGTGACCAAAGAAGTAAATTACAGGCAAATGCAATTAAAGTAAATAAAAATTAAAGTTTTCACTGGTGTGTATTTCCAGGTACAATGATATATACCTGTAGTCCCAATCTACTTAAGAAACTGAAGCAGGAAAATTGCATGTTTGATGCCAGCCTGGGCAACATAGGCAACATGAGCAAGACAGGGAGACCTTTTGAAAAAGAAAGGAGGCTGGTACATAGAGAAAAGGGATATTCATGTGGGCAGAAGGAAGAGAAAAAGTTCAAATAAATCTTGCTCATAGCCTAGTCTGGTACAGGTTCTGCACAGCCCACAGGGGTTTCCAATCTGGGGTACATCCTTTGTCACCACCTGCTGATGCACCAAAGCAGAACTGTAGACACATAATTTCCATTTCCTGGGGCTCCTTTCCCTGCCACATGTGCAGGGCAACAGTCTACATGAGCACACACAGCTTGTCATCCTTGGTAAAAACTGTTTCTATAATAAATCTGCACCCCGTTTCTCATCCTTTCTAAGGAGAAGTAATTGACATCCAAAACTTGGGCAAGTTTCTAGCAAATGAGGGGATCGAGCTCACAGAAGACGAGATGAACAACCTGATGCCTTACCTGGAATTTAACGGTGAGGGTTTCTGCATGTAAGGTGGTGTCTTCCTAAAAGTGCTTTTGTGACCAGCATAGAAGATCTTCAGAAATTATCTGTTCTGTATCACCTAAAGCACTTGAGTGTGTGTGTGAATTACCTTCTGTCTTAGAATTACTATTGCTGTGACAAAATACCACAACCAAAAAGCAAGTTGGGGAGGAAAGGGCTTACACTTCCATATCGCTGTTCATCATCAAAGGAAGTCAGGACAGGAGCTCAAACAGGGCAGGAACCTGGAGGCAGGGGCTGATGCAGAGGCCATGGAGGGGTGCTGCTTACTAGCTTGCTTCCCCTGGCTTGCTCAGCCTGCTTTTTGTAGAACCCAGGACCATGAGCCAAGGGATGGCACCACCCAGAATGGGCTGGGCCCTCCCTCATCATTCACCAATTAAGAAAATGCCTTACAGCTAGCTGGATCTTATGGAGGCATTTTCTCAACTTACATTCCCTCCCTCCAGATAACTTTAGTTTGTGCATCAAGTTGACATGAGACCAGCCAGCACATCTTCACATCTTGTTGAAATGTAGGCTTGGGTTCAGGTCTAGGGTGAAGCCTTACATGTCTAACAAACGCCACTGTGGCATCATGGGCCACATCTTGACTACTGAGCATCTAAAAAGGAAAGAGAAGAGACTATGCCTGTGGTCTCCTTTTTAAAATCCCAAGTAAAACCAATAAGCCAATGTGTGTGAGGGCATGATTCTAACCCAAAAAGGAAGTACAAAATTATCAGAGTGATTGAAATTAGGAAATAAAAGTGAGCAGTAGCAGAGACTCAGGAGAAGCAGGAGTTTGGGGCTGATTGATCACTCACTGGCTGAGATACACAGATGAGTGATGGGCACTGGCCTAGCATCAAAGGTAAGGCCCTGGGTTTGAATTCTAGCACCATAAAAACACACAAATTAAAGCTAGTCGTGGTGGTACACACCTTTAATCCCAGTACTCAAGAAGCAGAGGCATTTCTATGAGTTTAGGGCTAGCCTCGTCTACAGAGTGAGTTCCAGGAAAGCCAGGGCTACACAGAGAAACCCTGTCATGGAAAGACAAATGAAAAAAAGAATTCAAAACCTACAGCAAAGCCCACATGTGCTCCTCAGCCTTCTCCTCCACCTCTTCCGCCCTGTTATGCCGCAAACCACTGAACTGTGATTCTCTAAAGCAGCTTTGTTCCTCCTTTTGTCCTTTAGCTTAACTACCACTTGGTCTAGAATGTTCCTCCTCTACTCCATCCCCATCCCACAGTGTGCCCATGAAGTCCTGTTGGACTGCCCCAGGCTCCTTCTGCATTCTATGACTCCTATTCCACCATTCACCCCGCAACTAAAACAGCACTGTTTCTTCTCTGAATTCTGATAGGATTTTGTTAGAGACAGAATACATACCTCTTGCTCTGACTTCTTTTTTACACACTTCTGTGGTCTCCCAACAAACTTTAAAGTTCTTAAAGAAAAAGTCTGATGTCAAATGCTAAGAACACAAAAAGGAATGAATCACAGCCCTTGTCCTCAAAAAGCTTTTGGTCCAATAGAGGAAGAAGCACATAGAATAATGTGATATAATGTGAGATATATATTATATATATATGCAGAGAGAACATATGGCTGAGACTGGTGTTGTCTTCTGGGGAGAGACTGGCTTAGTCGTTGCAGGGCATCTTTCCAGTCAGAGACAGACTGTGTCCTCACTGTAGCAAAGCACATTTGTGGTGGTTCTCAAAAAGGACGTCCAGGTCACCAAAAAATGAATAAAGATGTGGAAGTAGAAGAGCTAGTGGGAAGAGGAAAAGGATTAGCAGGAGTTAGATGGAGAGAAAAGGTAATAAGGGGTGAATATGGTCAAATACAGCAATACATGTATGAAGATGATATGATGAAATCCATTGTTATGTATAACTAATATATGCTAATAAACTCTCAGAAAGACTTGTCAGAACAAAGAGCAGGTCCTTCCCTCCCTATTCTAACATTTGAGCATATGCCAACATATTTTCCTTTATATCTTCACTTTTACATATATTATATGTAACATATAATATACACAGATTATATATGTGTGTGTGTGTGTGTGTGTGTGTGTGTGTGTGTGTGTGTGTGTGTGTGTGTGCATTCCAGTGAGCTGGCTCAGCAATAAGGGAACTAGCTGCCAAGCCTGACAACCTGAGTTTGATTCCCAGAACCCACATGGTAGAAGGAGAGAATCAGCCCCTACAAATTGTCCTCTGATATCCACATGCTTGCTATGGTACTCATGCATGTTTGCACACTTGTGCAAGCACACATACACACAAATTAAAAAATGTAAATAAAATATATATCTATTGTCATCTGTTGGGAAAGATATAGATTTGAGGGCAGACTCTGTTGGCAGTTCCCCTTTCCCACTTGTGACCTGTAATTATCAACCACATTCTTGAAACTATGAAAGAGGACCCGCATTGAAGAAGTAGAGACATTTGTCTCCCCACAGAAGTCATTATTTGTTGCATCATCCTCAGCCGAGAGAAAAGCTGATCCAAATTCCAAAGCAAATGCAGACGAGTTCAGCCTAGTACTTCCTATGGGGGGCAGGGGGCACTTGAGGTGACAGGAAATCATGTAATGCTTTGCTTTTAATAATGTCACAACTTTTATTAACCTTACTGAATTTTTTTTGGCTGCCTCTGTGTCTGAATCAAATGTTTTACAGGAAGTGGGAAGGTCACCATACAATCGATAATGGAGGGCCTGAAGAAACTTAAACGTGAGTGCAAACTTACAGGACAATTGAAAATTGATCAGTTGATGCCATATATTAATTTTCATATGTGTTTTCTTGGTTATAAAAGTAATACATGGAAGGTTACAGAGACAGCTCAGCTGTTAAAAGCTCTGGCTGCTCTTCCAGAGGACCCAGCTCCAATTCCCAGCACCCACATGGTGGCTCACAACCACCTGTAACTCCAGTCCCAGGGGATCTGATGCCCTCTTCTAGCCCTCAGGCACTGGACACACATGATTCACATATATGCAGGAAAAACACCTATATACATAAAAAAAGGAAAAAGAATTTTTAACTTTTGAAATATACTGCAAACAATATTTTTTAAGAAGTACATGGGACTAGGAAGGTACTCAGTGCTACAGAAATTGATTGGCATGCACAAAATCATGAGCACCAACACTGAAAAATCAAGGTAATGTATATTCATTATAGAAAATATATGTATTCAGAAAGATAAATTATTCAAAAGGAAAAATTAATAATCTTATTAGTTCTGCCTTCTGGCAATAATCCATAACTTTATCACCACATTCTCCATTGTGCATACATCAAAGGATTAACTCTGAAGGTATCAAAAGGTAATATATTAATATCAGAAGATATTTCTACTCACACTAGCATACTGCTTCTGAGTAACAGGTTACCTTGTGCATGATACCTCCATGGCCACAAAGAACCACCGTAACTTTGTAGGCTTCCATAACTTGCCACAGATCTTTCTTGGTGTTAAAAGAGTACAAAATTGGCTTGTCTGGCTATGGCCAACCCAGTCAAATGCAGAAAACTAAACCCTATGTCCACTTTCTCCTGAGACTTCATCTCCTCATGTTTAAGTAATAAAATTAACCCACATTTTGATGAGAAAAGATAATAAATGATATGTGGCTAACCTTGATTTCAGTTCTGACCCAAGGTTTTTACTAGGGGGCTAAACTTGTCCTGTTGCTGTGAAAAGACACCACAACCATGACAACTCTTATCAAGGAAAACATTTAATTGGGGCTGGCTTACAGTTTCAGAGGTTAGTCTAAGCAGGAGCATGGTGGCATGCAGACATACATGGTGCTGGAGAAGTAGCTAAGAGTTCTGTGTCCACCTTGATGCAAGGAGGAGGGGCTAGGTCTAGCCCCAACTTGGTATTCCAGCCTATGTTGACTACCCAAGGAAGGCCTCTATGAGGAGGGGATGGAGGTGGGATGGGTTAGGTGGGGGAGAGCAGGAGAAGGGGAGGGAGGCAGAATAGGGGTTGGTATGTAAAAGGAAAGAATTTTTTTTTTTAATTAAAAAAAATGAGAAAAAAAATTCTTTGTCCAGTTCAGCAGGCAGCAGGAAGGGAGAGATATTGGGTCTGGCTTGAGCATTTGAAATCCCTAAGCCCATCTCCAGTGACACACTTCCTCCAACACAGCCACACCACATGTCCTAATCTTTGGTCCCTAATGACCAAGCATTCAAATATATGAGCCTATAAGGGTCATTTTTATTCAAACCATCACAAGCAGCAAGCAATATGAATTAAAACAGATGGCCCATATGAACTTGGATGTTTTCTCCAGCTCTCCTCTCTTAGTCAGCTTCAGGGCTGTATATAATCTTGTCTCTGAACCTTGTCTTTCAGCGAAAGGAATGATGAGTCTGCACAAGTTGTTAAGAACTGCCAGTGGTATTAACGGTAGGTTACAGCTTTTAATCCTGTCGTTACTGTCCAGAACTGTCTTAGCATTTCTGCTTTCTGTCTGCTAATCAGTCAGGTGACTATACGTTAGTCCTCCAACTAGTTCTCTAAGTTCATTTTGCCTTTATAGTCCATGTCTCACTGTATCACACTGCTTATTAGATATTTCATATTGTTTTCTAATGTCTTCAATGATATTTAATTACATTATGTCTCTAGCATCATCATATAGTTTATAAAGTAACTTCCTGATTCTAGTCTTAAGGAAAGCAATTCAGTTTATTGAACTTTTATGTCCATATCAGTAAAGCAAAAGAGGTGAATTTGGGTAGTGATCTATTAGTTCTCTTTTGGCTTTAAAATTCTAGTTTTAACTGTTAAGGTTGAAAGGACACTATTAAGGTGGGGAAAAAAAGGGTCCAGAATAAGAGAAAATATTTGTTAAGGATTTATAAATGATATACTAATAAGAGTTTAATACCCAAAATATGTAAAGAGACCTTATAATTCAATAATGAAAAGTGTAGATGTAGGTAGGGCTTGGACTATAGCTTAGTGGTAGAGCACTTGTCTAGCATGTGTGAGACCCTAGATTCATTTTCCAGGATCACATACACCAAAAAGCAAATATAGTCATTCTCTTGGATAGACAACTCCACTTTCTATTGTTCCACTTACAGTCAACTGCTGTCCAAATATATTAAATGGAAAATTCCAGAAACAAATAGTTCATAAGTTTTAAATTGTATGCTACTCTTAGTAATGTGATAACATGTAGCACTGCCCTCCCCCGACTGTGCTAAGGACAAGAACCAATCCTTTGTGCACAATACAGACTTTATACACATCACCACATCAGTCACCAAGTAACCATCTCCGTTACCAGATAACTGCTGCTGCACTGCATTGTATTTCTTGTATAGTCTTTATTTTACTTAATGATGACCCTAAAAACACAAGAATAGTGATGGCGACCATTCAGCTTTGCCAAGAGAAATCAGGGAGTGATTCCAGCGAATAAGAAGGTCAAAGAGTTCATTCAGCTCAATGCAAGAAAACATTAGCCCCTAATTTTAACCTCTTACTATGCGTACTTTATGAATTAATATTTTGCCATAAACATGTATGCATAGAAAAAAGATAGTGTAGAGATAAGGTTCAGTGTCCTCCATGGTTTTAGGCATCCACTGAGGATCTTTGAACAGATCATCTGAGGATGAAATGAGACAGCTGTAACCGAGTGTTTCTGAATGGCCAAAGTATATGACTAGACATTGCTTCAGAGATTACATTACAATGACAATGAATTAGATGAAAAGATGTTAAACATCATTATTCACTGAGGGAACACGAAACAACAATGAAATACTACTTTACATTCTCTAGTGTGGATGCATTTAAAAAAGAAGAAAGCTGAGTGTGGTGGCACATACCTTTAACCCCAGCACTCAAGAGGCAGAAGCAGGAGGATCTCTAAATCTGAGGCCAGGCTGGGCTACAGAGCTAGTTCCAGGATGGCCAGGGCTATACAGAGAAACCTTGTCTAAAAAAAAAAAAAAGGCAACACGAACAGCAAGATGGTTTAGTGGGTAAAGGCACTTGCCACCAAGCCCAACTGCCTTAGTTTATCCCCAGGACCCATATGCTGGAAGGACAGAACTGACTCCACAACAGCCTTCTAGGGACTGGAGACATGGCTCAGCAGTTTAGAGCACTGGCTGCTCTTCCCCAGGACCCAGGTTCACTTCCCAGCACCCACATGATGGCAGCTCACAACTGTCTGTAACTCCAGTTCAGGGGCTCTGATGCCCTCTTCTGGCCTCTGAGGGTACACATGTGGTGTACAGACATACATGCCATCAAAACACCCATACACTTAAAATGAAATTAAACAAAAGAAACAAAGTTTGTCCTTTGCCTTCCACATACCTGCTGTGGCGTATGTGAGCACACATACACACACAACAAATAAATGTAACAAAATTTTAATTAAAAATTTTTAAAAGATAACAAGTGTTAAAGATGTAAAGAGAATGAGGCCCTCATTAAACTGGTGAGATAATTGTAAAATTGTGCAGCTGGATTGTTATCTTTGTTGATAACAATAGACATACTCAAATATTATCAGAAGAAAAATATTAAAATCACACATGCATATATGCATATAATTAATGAAAAGGGAGGCCATGAATTCAAAAAAGAGCAAGGAGGGGAAAATGATGTGATTCTCAAAAATAAAGAATATTATTTTAAAAATCATAGTATTTAGTAGTTTGTGGAACATAAGCTAGATGATTTAATATTATGATTTGCTATAAAGTTGATGCTAGGAATATTTTCTGCATTTTAAAGAATTATTTCATGTGTAAAAATGTTTTCTGTACATGTATGTCTGTGCACCATGAGTGTGCAATGCTCCCAGAGGCCAGAAAAGGGTGTCAGATCTCCTGTGGGACTGGAGTTACAGATGACTGTGAGCCAACATGTGGGTGCTGGGAATCAAACCCGGATCCTCTGGAAGAGCAGCCAGTGCTCTTAATCACTGAGCCATCTCTCCAGCCCCCTGTCGTTTTTTTTTTTTTTTTATTTTTAAATCATTGTTTCAAGAATAAATCAAACACTTAGAAGGCAGAGACAGACAAAGCTCTGTTTGGGGCCAGCCTGGTCTACAGAGTCAGTTCCAGCTCAGCCAGGGTTAAATTCAGGACCCTATCTAAATAAGTAAAAGTTGATCTATGAGTCGTGGTCCATGTGTCCATAGCAGTCAGAAGAGAGAGCAATTCAAGTGTCCATCAGTGATGAATGGGGAAACAAAATGTGGCGCTCACATAGCTTATCTGTGACCCACACCACAACACAGATGAACCTCAGGGATATTATGGAGTGAATAAGCCAATCGCAAAAAATAACTACTATATTCTTCTACATATAGGAGATCTCTAGAGTGGTCAGATTCACAGACATAGAATGTAGGGTGGTTATGAGGAGTTGGAAGGAGCGGGGAAAGAGATGTTATCTAATGAACAAAGAGTTTGGGCCTTGTAAGATGAGAGCATTCAGTAGCTGGTATGTAACAAAATGAGCATAATTAACAGTACTGAACTATGTACTTAAAAATTGTTAATCTAGGAACAGGGTTCAACTCTGGGGTAGTCAGAGCACTTGTTAGCCTGCATGAGACCCTGGTGTTGATCCCAGCGCACACAAAAATGGAAGTGAAAGTAGTTGCTTCTATATAATACAGACTTTAGCACAATTAATAATAAGTAACAATTGGGAGTTTTTACTTCTATCTAGGCACTTGGCCCATGCCTATAGTCCTACATTTTTGTGGGGCTGGAGCAGGAGGAATTTGAGCTCAGGAATTTAAAGCCAGCCTAGGAAAGCATAATGAGGTTCCCTCTCTAAAGAAACCACAGTTTAGGGCTGGAGAGATGGCTCAGCGGATAAAAGCTTACACTGTTCTAGAAAAGTACTGTTTGATTCCCAGAACCAACATGGTGGCCCACAACCATCTGTAACTTTCAGGGAGTCTGATGCCCCCTTCTGGCTTCTCAGAGCACCAAGCACACATGTCACAGACACCCATTCAGGCAAAACACCTATACACATAAAGTAATTTTTAGGATTATCCTAAAATAATAAAATAGGAGGTGGAGAGTTGGCTCAGTGGTTAAGAGCACTTGTCTGTTGCAAAGGATCCAGGTTCGATTCCCAGCACCCACATGGAGGCTCACCACCTCCTAGATACCAGGCAATATTTGTGCTACACAAATATTCATGCAGGCTAAACACTCATACACATAAAATAATAAAAATAAAAATAATTAAATATTTGGGGGGGGGGCGTTGAGACAGGGTTTCTCTGTGTAGCTTTGCGCCTTTCCTGGAACTCACTCTGTAGACCAGACTGGCCTCGAACTCACAGAGATCCGCCTGCCTCTGCCTCCCGAGTGCTGGGATTAAAAGCATGCGCCACCACCACCCGGCATTTTTAATAATTATTATTTTAATAATTATTGGTATTTAATAATTATTGGTATTAAATAATAAACAGTCAGACCTAGAATAGGAAACAACCAGAAACACTGCCACTGAGTAAAGCCTGAAGCATTTTTTGAAGCCAGAGTCTGTGTTTATCTACCGTGGATTACAGGCCATCCTAACCCCTGTGCTAGAGCCGTTGTTGTTGCTGTTGTTGTTGTTTGCTTGTTTGGGGGGAAGTTTTGGTTTGGTTTATTTAGTTTTGGTTTGGTTTTTGGAGATGAGGTCTTACTTTGTAGCCCTGAATGGCCTAGAACTTCCTAGGTAGACCAGGCTGGTCACACACACAGAGATCTTCCTGACTCTGCTTTCCAAGTGCTGGAATTAAAGGTATGGGCCACCACTAGCTTCGAGGGTTGAATGCTATGAGAAAAGTCAGAACATGAATATTATAGTTTCTGCCTGATTGTCGGTTTTCCTTTTTTGTTTTTGTTTTGAGACAGAATCTTAAACTCACAGTCCTCCTGCTTCCGCCTTCCAAGTACTAAGATTATAGGCACACATCACCATGCCTGGCAATTTTAATTGCTCTATTTAATTTACTTTTCTCACTATTAAAGAATGCAAGTGGCCAGGCGGTGGTAGCGCACGCCTTTAATCCCAGCACTCGGGAGGCAGAGCCAGGCGGATCTCTGTGAGTTCGAGGCCAGCCTGGGCTACCAAGTGAGTTCCAGGACAGGCGCAAAGCTACACAGAGAAACCCTGTCTCGAAAAACCAAAAAAAAAAAAAAAAAAAAAAAAAGAATGCACGTGGGCCAGAGAGATGGCTCAGCAGTTAAGAGCACTCGGTGCTCTTCTAGAGGACTCAAGTTCAAGTCCCAACACCCACATCACATGGTTCTCAACTGCCTGTAACTCCAGCTCCAGAAGATCCCATGCCTCTAGCCTCTGTGGGTACCTGGACTCACATGCATAGATACACACATATATACACAGGTATTAAAATTTTTTAACTTAAAAAAGAAGAGTATAAGCACTTGAGATTTTTTTTCCTCCCTTTCTATACTTAAAAAAAATTAATGAAATGGTTTTTAATTACTCCCCAATCAAAGGACCTGGGTAAAATGCTTTAAGTAAGTTTTAACAGACTAAAGAAAATATACCAATACATAATTTGAAGCAAAAAAAAAAAAAGTCCTCTTCTCTAAAGTCTCAACAGGCTCAAATTATTATGATTCTGTAATTCATTTCCTCATGTGCCACTGGGGTACTGAGTGAACCCCACTGAGTACACATTTGCTGTAACCCTGGGAGGAGCCTACAGGTCACCATCTCCCTGAGCAGTGAATGAGGTCACAGCTGTATGATGGAACAAACCCTTTATTGGATTCTTGATCTGAAGGCTCAGATAAGGTTGGTTGGTTGCTAATGTTGGTTAGTAGCACAACTCAAAAGTAGGTAATGTCAGAATTTTGTATGCTTCTATGCTGAGTTCTTTTTTAAAAAAATATCTATCAACTATATAAGAAATTGAAGGTATTTATTTTTAAGTAATGATTATTTTGAGCCATGGGGACAATTTCAAAGCACCGTTCCAGTGCCTACATTGTTGAGCGCCTCTGAGGTTCCCAGCTTTATGGTGGGTTCTAGATTCTGAACATTGTGTAATTGAGTTCTTTAGAAAGCTACTTTCCGGGTTCTGAGGCAATGACCTGAGGAGAATGAATTCTAACCAAACATTCTGAAATGTGTTTTTCCTTTTTTTTCTGTTAAACCAGTACTTGCTGATTCCTCATTCCCAAGCTAGCAGCCCTGTCTGCTAGCCCTGTCAGTGAGCTTCCTGATACAGGCTATAGTTTGGAAAGCTAACTGGAGTGATTAAGAACCCAAAAGGGATGAATGCCTCCCAGCCCCTGATCTGCAGCCTGGTTCTCAGGCTCTGCAGGGGGACAGGGGAAGCCATAGTATTGAAAGAAAGAGTCTGTGCAAAGGCTATCCTTTCTGCTTTTATGAAAAAGCAGCGGGCAGGGATGTGGGTCCCAGAAGGAAAGCCTCCGAAAATGTACTTACTAGTGTTCTGAGACTGAAACAAGTAAGCAGACATTTTAGGGGTGCTTTAATACTTTCTTCTTGGCCGACTGTGATGGGAAATGTTTCAAATAAATGTTGTCTTTAATTTTTCCTATATATTTCTACATGCTTTGTATCCTGTGCTATTTTTTAATTAGTTAAGGAATGCAATTTGATGATTTGTTATATGTACACATTGTAAAATATTTACTACAATCAAACTAACATACCAGTCACCTTTACATAGTTATTATGGGGCAAGGCCCCTAGGCAAATTTCAAGTACTCTGAAAAGTAGTGCTACCTAGCCATGGTGTTATACACTAAGTCTTTACAAGCTACTCATCTTACTTACATAAGTGAAGGTTTGTGCTCCTTACCCAACCTCTTCCTATACACACCCCCTTCCCACCATTCTATACTTCTGTGGGTTTGACTATTTTGGATTCTACATGCAAGTGAGAAAATATTTCTCTTTGTGTGCCTGGCTTATTTTGCTTAGCATTTATTTAGTGTTTTTTTGTTTTGTTTTGGTTTGGTTTGGTTTGGTTTTTTTTTGTTGTTGTTTTTTGTTTTTTGTTTTTTTGGTTTTTGGTTTTTAGAGACAGGGTTTCCCTGTGTAGCTTTTTGCACCTTTCCTGGAACTCACTTGGTAGCCCAGACTGGCCTCGAACTCACAGAGATCCTCCTGACTCTGCCTCCCGAGTGCTGGGATTAAAGGTATGTGCTACCACCACCTGACTTATTTAGTTTTTTTAAAGACTTATGTTTTTACTTATGTGTGTGTATATGTGTGTGTGTGTGTGTGTGTGTGTGTGTGTGTGTGTGTGTGTGTGTGTGTGTGTGCAGATGCCCGTGGAGGCCAGAAGAGGGTGCTGGATCCCTTGGGACTGGACTGTAAAGATGGTTGTGAGCAGCCATGTAGCCTGGGAATCTGGTTCCTCTTCAAGAGCAGTAAGAGCTCTTAACCACTGAGCTGCCATCTCTCCAGCCTTGGCGTTTAATTTTATATAAGATCAAAGAGACATTATTTGAAAGGTTGAGCTATGACAAGAAATTTTGCTCATGGATCTTGGCACAGTAAAGGGACCTTTCTACACAGCCCTCCAATCTTGCATATAATTCTAGCTTGGATTTGCATATGATGCCATGCTTTGAAACCCTAGACATTTTAGCCCCAGGCCTTGAGCAGGAAAGAATGCAAAGAAATGAATGAATAAACAGATAGAGTGGCACTTCTCTGCAATTCTAGTACTGGGAAGATTCGGACAGGAAGGACTGAGTTCTAGGCCAGCAGAACTACAAAGTGAGATCTTGTCTCAAAAAAAAAAAGGAAAGAAAAGGAATAAATAAATGGATGTATGGTTGAATAAATGAATGAATCTGTGGATTGATCCTTTATTGTATCTTCTGAATTCCAGAAAGAGTTTCTGGCCAAATGGCAGTTTCAGGACTTAAATCCACACTGAAGCTGAAGCCTCTGAAAGCACCTCTCTTTCACAGGAGGTAGGTGATGAAGTGTGAGCAGACTATAGAGAATCTTTGGGTAATGAATCCAAATTACGTTACAGAGACTGTGATGAAACAAGGTAGACTATTCTGTTCTATGGTAACGTTACTTAAAACATCTGAGTAAAGAGTTTCTTATCTTTTATTTCTTTTGTATGTGTGCTCACGTGCATACACCACAACATGTATATGGAATGGAAGTCAGAGGACAGCTTGCAGGAGTCAGGTCTCCCCTTCCACTCTGTGTGTCCCAGGATCAAACTCAGATCCTCAGGCTTGGCAGCAAACACCTTCCCACTGTACCATTCTGTTGGCTTATGGGAAGTTTTTTTTTGCAATAAAAAAAAATTAACAAAAAGAATTTTCCTCCCCTTTCTCCCGAATGAAGTCCAGTAAATTAGCCGTGAACAGCCCTAGTGCGATACAAGGGAGGTTCTCCTGTTAGTAGCAATGTTTTTGCTCAATCAGCTGCCAATAAACTCTAATAAATAATCACTAATTGGCTGAAAGTGAGAGCCCAAAATACATTTTGTCACACAATAAAAGGAAAAACACCCCTCTCTCCCAACTGCCCATTTTCTTTACCGCTTTGAGAGTGTTTTCAACTTTACCACTGCTAAAGCAATAAATTTCTGACATTTTCAAAGAAAGAAGTAGGAAAATAACCATATAACAGCCAAACCCCTGTTATCACTGTCTCCTTTTGAAATGGTGAGCTCTTTGACATGGAAAATAATCCAGCAAAGACGAAAACCACAGGCCAGTGGAATCCCCACTGGAGGTGAGAGGTGAGGCTGGTTTTGTTTCAAATGGGAAGTTCCATGGTCCTTTGAAACTGTAAAATAGACTTTCTGTGGGGTTTAGTCCAAGATGAAGTTTGAAATGGTTCCACGGGTTTTCTTGTTCTTGTTATTGGGTTTTTTTTGTTGTTTGTTTGTTTTTTGGTTTTCGAGACAAGGTTTCTCTGTGGACCAGGCAGGTCTCAAACTCACAGAGGTCTGCCTGCATCTACCTCCTGAGTGTTGGGATTAAAACCGTGTGACACCACCACCTGGCTCCACAGGTATTTTTTACTTGTAATTAACAAAAGTCTTTGTCCACCTGGCCTTCTGCTTGGCTTTGGGTTTTGAGGGCGACATATTTCTGTGTCTGCTTACATCTTTTACATCATACAAAAATAAACTATTTTTATTTGGAAATGCAACACATAGATAGCAACCTTAGTAAGAGCAGACCTGAGTCTGCAGAAGATCAAGTTAGAAAAAGGGAACACACACACACACACACACACACACACACACACACACACACACACACACACACAAAGAAACAGTGTTAGTAAAAGCTGGGAAAATAAAACAAGTTAGATACAATTCATGCCAAAAAGTTGGGAACAGGACATCTTAAGACTTCACCACTTCCTTCTATCCCAGGCTACTCTAAACATAACCTGAATCTAATGCTCTAGTGGGTGTAAAGTAAACCATACTTTTTTATTGTTTAACCATAATATTTATTATTCCTTCTAGTTTTACTGTATTTACTGTTTCTTGTAAAACCACAAAAACTGGAGCTGGAGAGGCAGCTCACCAGTTAAGAACACTGGCTGCTCTTCCCGAGGGCCTGGGCTCAGTTCCCAGCACCCACATGAAGGCCTGATATCCCTTCTAACGTCCTTGGGTACCAAGCATGCACATGGTGCACATACATACATGCAGGCAGGCAAGACATTCATATACATAAATTATAGAATAAATCTTTGTCAATGTTTTAATAAAAATAAGCCACAAAAGTAAGAGATTCCGTATTCTTAAAACTTTTGTTATTAGTATCAAAACTAAAGACTTCTAAAATAAATTTATAGGAGCTAGGTGTAGTGGCACATGGCTATAATCGCAGTATGCAGGAAGATGGAGGCAGGAGGATCAGGAGTTCAAAGTCATCCTCAGCTATGTAGGCTACATGGGATCCTGTCTCAAAAACTTTTATGATTATTTAATTTGCTACTAAATTACACTTAATCAAAAATAATTTTATTCTACTTGCTGTATTATAAGCAAAGCTAGTTGTGTGTTCATAAATTATTGCAAATTTACACAAAGCCTCCTGGAAGTATTAATATTTTTCCTCCTTTTCCAGATTTCACTTTCCTGAGGCTGCAAAAAGACACCCAGAGTTCCACATTTTCCAGAAGTGTCCTCTGTCTCTATCATTTACTTAGTCTCTCTCATATATACTAAATATCATGTTGGCGATTAAAGTTATAAAGTGATAGATGCACAAGTTTCTCTACATAGGTAGTCAACACAACATTGTTTTCCAAATCAACGTTTAAAACAACAAGCTTCTAACAATAGTAATAGCTTCAGGTTTCCAGCCTGGAACTTTGCAATCAGAGCCTCCTCTCACATTTACTTACCTGCCTGACTTTGGACAAGCCCTTTAATCACCCAGAATGTCTGTTTTGTAAAATGAGGGAAATCGGGTAGTTTTGTTTTGTTTTTTAGGAGAGGTAAGAGCACTGGAAAACACTGGGTGGGCTGCAGTTGTCCTGTCTTCTCAGTCTTTCAGGCAGATATTAGCGAGAGACAGCTCTGCTTAAGCACTGTGACTCTGGGCATACTGTGATGCTTGCCGCCATTATCATCAGCAAAACTCGAAGGTTTTACTCCTGTGTTAAATCCTATGCTTTTTGTGTCTCTTCTCAGAGATAGAGCATATCTTCCAGGTTATTTACAACACAAAGAATCGAAGCTGAGCCCTTCACAACTGGAAGGTAATGAAAACTATCCTAAATGTTAAAGCCTAACAACAGCCAGGGTAGGGATGGTGCACGCCTTTAATCCCAGCACTCAGGAGGCAGAGCCAGGTGGATCTCTGTGAGTTCAAGTCCATCCTGGTCTACTGAGAGAGTTCCAAGACAGCCAGGGCTACATAGAGAAACCCTGTCTCAAAAACAAAAAACAAAACAAAAAAAAAAAAAAGGATCTAATAACAACCGCTCCATGTGTCTGTGAACTTGTTGTTTTATTATTTTTGAGGCAGGCTCTTCCTCTTATATCTAAGGCTGGCCTGGAACTCACTGTGTAGCCCTGGCTGGCCTGGAACTCATAGCTGTCCTACCTCAGCCTCCCAAGTGCTAGCATTGAAGGCATGTGCTATTGCATCCAGCTAGCTCCCATACTGACTTTCTGTAATGCACAGATGAGATTTCAGGGGGAATCTGTATTATCCTGTCGTTAAAGAGAGGGGAAGTGGAGGGGAGAATAAACTTTTTAACCAGACGTGATGGTACACACCTATAACTCAGGAAGCTGGTGCTTAGTTCAAAGCCAGTCTGCCCTGCATATTAGGACCTCTCAAAAATAAAAAATAAACTGTTTGCTAGATTGAAGGAGGATAACTTTCATATTGACCTCTCTCAAGAATTGAAACAGGCTTGGCCAAATATTCTCTTAGTTATTATTTGTTTATTTATTTTTGGTTTTTCAGGGCAGGGTTTCTGAATGCTGGGATCAAAGGTGTACTCCACCACCACCTAGATAGGTCCAATATCCTTTTTTTTTTTTTTTTTTTTTTTTTTTTTTTTTCCGGGGCTGAGGACCAAACCCAGGGCCTTGCGCTTGCTAGGCAAGCACTCTACCACTGAGCTAAATCCCCAACCCCAGTCAAATATTCTTATCCAGATAACTTGTAAGGGTGGTTAACAACAAATCCAAGGTCACATATCAATCAGCAAATTGAACAGTATAAACACAAAGTCTCAAGACTGGTCAGTGTGGTAACATGTATCTGTAATTCCAGCATTAGGGAGGCCTCTAGAGGCAAGAGGACCACAAGTTTGAGGACAGCCTGGTCTACATAGTGTTTGACAAGCCAAGTCAATTTTGTTCTCAAAAGACCAAATTAAACTAAAATGGAAATAAAATACCAGGATTTCTTAGAGACAGACAAAAAAAATGATAATGATGAAATTTGGTACACTGTCTACAGGTCATTGATCCAAACAGCAAACATATATTTAAGCCAACAGTGTTCCAGACATAAGAATATTAGACATGTTCCTGCCCTGGAAGGAAATATGTAGGGAAAATACAGTTAAAGGACAAAATTATCGATGACACGAGGTATGAGAGAAGGATAGAGTGCTGTGGGAGCATGACATAGTGTCCCAATTTGGTCTTCTGGGGCAAAGAAGGGAGCCCAGAGAAAGCTGAATGAGGAAGTCCAGGAAGAATGCAGAAGAGGGGGGCTGGAGAGATGGCTCAGGGGTTAAGAGCACTGGCTGTTCTTCCAGAGGACATGAGTTCAATTCCCAGCAACCACATGGTGGCTCACAACCACTTGTAATGAGATCTGGCGCCCTCTTCTGACCTGCAAGCATGCATGTAGGCAGAACACTGTATACATAATAAATAAATAAATAAATCTTAAAAAAAAAAAAAAAAAAAAGAATGCAGAAGAGTGCTCCAGGGAAGGACAGATCTATCCACAGAAAGGAACAATATTATGCCCCAGAAAACCTGCAGGGGGCTGGAGAGATGGCTCTGTAGGTGAGGGCACCTGCTATGCAAGCGAGGAGCTGAACTCAGATCCAGGCATAAAACGCTGTGCATGACTATCACCCCAGTACCGAGTCGGGGGAACAGGAAGATTGTTGAGCTTGCTGGATGCCAGGGTTCAATAAGAGACCCTGTTGTTGTGGGTTAGAATATTTGTTTAACTATGTCAAGATGTGTTGCATTTGTTTGTGCTGCAGAATAATTGTTTAACTACGTAAAGATGTGTTGCTGTTTCACCTTGCCTTCATAAGGCACCTGATTGGTCTAATAAAAAGCTGAATGTCCAATAGCTAGGCAGAGGAGAGCTAGGTGGGGCTGGTGGGCAGGGAGAAAAGGAGCCAGACAGACAGACACAGAGGAAGCTGGAAAGCAGGATGGACAGTATGTAGATGAGGTAAACAAGCCTCAGGGCAGCACATAGGTGAACAGAAATGGGCTCACTTAAGTTAAATAAAAAAAGAGCAAGCTAGAAGCAAGCCTTAGCTAAGGCCAAGCATTCATCATTAGTAATAAGTCTCCATGAAATGATTTGGGGGCTGGCGGTCCAAGAAAGCCTGCTTTACTCTGTCTGAAAGGATAAGGTGGGATGTGGTAGAGCAGGATGCCTGGCCTCCACACTCAGAGGTGAGCATACTCATGCATACACATGTGCCTACACCACACACACACAGATGCCCTATACTCAGAGGTGAGCATACCCATACTACACCACACACACACACAGATACCCTACACTCAGAGGTAAGCATACCCATACTACACCACCCACACACAGAAACCCTATACTCAGAGGTGAGCATACCCATACTACATCACACACACACACAGATACCCCACACTCAGAGGTGAGCATACCCATACTATACCACACACACACAGATACCCCACACTCACACCCAAAAAAGAAGAGGAGGAGGTGGAGGAAGTGGGGAGAGAAGCACTTTTGCCTGCAGAAGACCCGAAGTCTACCTCAAGGTCCCACAGAGTGGAAGGAGAGAACTGACTCCTACAAGTTGTCCTCTGGCCTCCATATGTATGCACTGTCACATACATACATACACCTACATGCATACATACATACATACATACACACACACACACACACATGCATACATACATTCTTCCTCTCTTCCACTACTTATTTGAACAATTTGAGAAATTGATATGTTTACCCAAAATATAAAATAAATAAATCTACGAGTCTATACTGATAGAAATAAACAATGAAGCTAGGAATATAGGTCAGTAGTAGAGCAGTTGCCTAGCATGTGTGAGGTTCAATCCCCGGTATTGTAAAAAGAATGAAAACTTAAAATAATTAAATATTTAGCACAAAGTAGAGACAAATGACCAAGTAATGGCAACAAAAGGGAAAATAGATTATATATGTGTGTGTATGTATATATATGTATGAATATGTATGTGTGTGTGTGTGTATATATATATATATATATATATTTGTTTTCTTGATACACAGGGTCTGATGTGGCCTATTCTGGCCTCAAACTCACTATGTATTATGGATTATAGGCATGTGCCACGATACCTGGCTCTCCATTTGGTTTTCCTACCAGTTACTACGCATTCTACTTGATTCTAGTTCAAATCCCAAGAAAAGACGGCCTTCTGTCTTTTTAAAAATCTATTATTCACCGGGTGGTGGTGGCACATGCCTTTAATCCCAGCACTCGGGAGGCAGAGGCAGGTGGATCTCTGTGAGTTCGAGGCCAACCTGGTCTACAGAGTGAGTTCCAGGACAACTAGGACTGTAACACAGAAAAAACAAAACAAAACAAAAAATCTATTATTGATTCTTCTCTCCACGTTTTTTTCAGAACACAATTGGCTGTATGATGTCTCCTAGCCCTGTTAGCATATATGTTTCTCCCTCCCCTTCTCCACTTCTACCTGGCTGATCTCGCCATTACTGTTTAGCCCAAGTGGGCCTGGGATCATCAGACTATCTTCCCACCACAGCTTCCAAGTACTAGGGTTGTAGACAGAAGTTACCATCCCTGACTGTGTTGCTTCTTAAATAACTGTCCTGACTAACATAATTCCATCTCCTCAGCCTTCCAAAATGCTTACAACTACTTCACCAAGGATAAAACTGGCTGTATTGATTCACATGGATTGATGAGCACCTTAGCTAAACTGGGGATGAATCTAAACACATATGATATCTATAATGAATTAAAGTGTGCTGATCTTGACAGTGAGTATTTTGACTTATTATTTTCCCATCAAATACTTTTATGAATATCTGTGTTATCATTTATGCTATAAGTGCAAGAAATAACTCTCCCTTATTTACCAAAAGTATACCTCTAAACAAAAGTAAGGTTATCTTCCCTGATCTACATTTCACTTTCCATAGTTTCGATTAAATGGTCAACTGTGGTCCAAAAATACCAGTATTTGTTTAAACTCTTTCAAGAGAAAAAGACCACAGTAATATAACTTTTTATAATGTTATATTGTTGAGGCTAGGCAGGGTGGCAAATACCTTTGATCCCAGCACTCAGGAGGCAGAGTCAGGTGGATCTCTGTGAGTTCCCAGCCAGCCTAGTCTACAGAGTGAGTCCCAGGACAGCCAAGACTACAATAAAGAAACCCTGTCTCAAACACACACACACACACACACACACACACACACACACACACACACACACACACACACACACACAGAGTATATTGTTATAATTTGTTGTTGCTAATCTATGACTATTCCTAATGTATCAGATAAAGTTTATCACAGATATGTGTATGTGAAAAAACATAGTAGATGCAGGGATCAGAATAGTCCCCAAACCTAACAAAACCAACCAAAGAGCTCTCTCAGTCACTTCAAGACATTCTCTAAAGTGAACATCATGACAAATACTTGAACTTGGTATTGAGAAGCGACAGTCACTCTTAGCTTCCACACAGGAATTTTCTCAAAAAATTAGATTTTTTTTTAGCTCATACATAGACCTCATTGATATACTTAAAGAGAAACACAAACTTACTGCCTATCGTCCTGCCAAAGGCTAGGATTGTAGAGATGAGCCACCACACTCAGGTCTAGCCAAGGTTTTAAGGCTTGGAGGTCTTGAAATGTCACTTCCCTATCCCTGTGGACAAGGAACCACTGCATTTGTATGTGTTTCTCTTTAAGGATATCTATGGAGTCTATGTGTGAGCTAAAAAAAAATTAAATTTTTTGAGAAAATTCCTGTGTGGAAACTGAGAGTGACGGTCCCTTCTCAATACCAAACTGAAGGATTTGCCATGTTTGCTTAGATGACGGTCCCTTCTCAACACCAAACTGAAGGATTTGCCATGTTTGCTTAGATGACAGTCCCTTCTCAACACCAAACTGAAGGATTTGCCATGTTTGCTTAGATGACGGTCCCTTCTCAATACCAAACTGAAGGATTTGCCATGTTTGCTTAGATGATGGTCCCTTCTCAATACCAAACTGAAGGATTTGCCATGTTTGCTTAGATGATGGTCCCTTCTCAATACCAAACTGAAGGATTTGCCATGTTTGCTTAGATGATGGTCCCTTCTCAATACCAAACTGAAGGATTTGCCATGTTTGCTTAGATGATGGTCCCTTCTCAATACCAAACTGAAGGATTTGTCAGGATGCTCACTTTAGAGGATGTCTTGAAGTAGCTGAGAGGTACAATGGTATAAACAGCTTCACACACAGCAGAACACCAAGAAAATCTAAGCCCACTGTTTGCATTTAAACCATACAAATCTCCCTTCTCTCCTGAGAACCCACTAAATTTTAAATGCCAGAGAAATTTTGGTAGTGTTTGAAAGCATACAGGTCATGGAGTTTGTTTTCTTCTTTGGGGCTATTTATTGTTAGTATTTGGTTTGGTTTTTTGGAGGAAGGACTTAATATATCCCAAGCTGGCCTCTAACTTGCTATGTAGATGAGGCTGGCCTTGAACCGCAGATGCTTCTGCTTCTACCTCTCAAGTGCTACAGCCTGTGCCTGGAGTCCAATCTAATATGTTGTGTGGAAAATGTTTGTAGCATATAATTTTCTCCTGCCCCTCGTCACTCAGCCGCCAGTGAGTCAAGGTCACCAGATCATTAGAATTATCACTTCTTTCCATTAACTCCATTAACAGTTATTTTATTTTTGCAGGTACATACACACATCCTCTAGTAGTACTTACTGTTTTTTTGTTTGTTTGGTTTTGGGTTTTGGTTGTTTTTAGTTTTTTCAAGACAGGGTTTCTCTATGTAGCCCTGGCTGTCCTGGAACTCACTCTGTAGACCAGGCTGGCCTCGAACTCACAGAGATCCGCCTGGCTCTGCCTCTCACGTGCTGGGATTAAAGGCATATGCTGCACTGCTTGGCAACTGTCTTTTAATTTTAGAGGCAAGTGAGACATGTAGATAAGCTCCTCATGAAAATGACACTCTCTGGCAAAGAACAACAGTAGCTAACAGGTTTTTCAGAATGCTTACACCTTGTCATTGCTTCTGTTGGCTACAGGAGACTAGTGTAATTGTAGACGTCATAAAGACTGAAGTAAATACGAGGATTTTAGGTTCAAGACCAGCATGGGCAACATAGGAAGGCACTACCAACAATAATCTCTTTAAGAAGGAGAGAGAGGAAACCAAAGTTTCCCTGATCATCTTTCCAGCCATGAGTATGTTGATTTTAAGTGTTAGATGACTCAGGCAACTTTAGCTTTTATACTTAACATACATTAAAGAATTCAAATACATCCTAGCTGGACATGGTAGCAGGCACCTGTAATCTCAGCAAACTGGAGGCTGAGGCAGAAGGATTGCAAGTTTGAAGCCAGTCTAGGTTATATATAACAAATGTGCGTTCTCTCTCTCTCTCTCTGTGTCTCTCTCGCTGTCTCTGCCTATCTCCTCTCTGTCTCTTTCTCTTTCCCTCAACTTTATATACACACTGTGTATTTATATAAACTTTAGCAATCTGCTTGCTCTGAGCTCAGCTTCCTGTTGCAGGAGACGGTAAGATCAACTTCTCAGACTTTATAGAGGTGCTGACAGATAAGAAACTCTTCCTCAAGGCTGTGGGTGAGTAGATGACAACCGGGCAGCCCTGCCCACTGCACAGAAAACACTATCCCTTAGGCCTCCAGTCAGGAGACAAATCCAGAAGGTAGAGTCCAGGGTGTGATTTTTTCTTTGTACTTTTCCTACAAAATAATATCAAACAAACTGATAATATCAGAATTGCAATTTAAATATATCAAGCAGCTCCTGGCCACCTAGGAGACAGTGCTCTTGTCTCTAATGAGAACACTAAGGAAGTGATGGGTGCAGGAAGTTTAGTTTTCCTTTTTTTAATTTATTTTTATTTTATGTGCATAGCTATCTTGCTTGTATCTAGATCCCCTGGAACTAGAATTACAGATGGTTATTAGTAGCCATGTGAGTGCTGGGAATCAAACCCAGGTCCTCTGGAAGAGTAGTCAGTGCTCTTAACCACTGAGCCATCTCTCCAGACCCTTGTTTTCCCTTTATAGTGTTTTAGTTCTTAACCAAGTGCATGTGCTACTACCAAAACTATTCCTTTTTTTGAAAAAATTTTCGTTTTCTAGATCGTGAATGACTTACTGTTTCCACACCCTGATGAAGCCTCAGCCCTCAGTGAGAGGCTGGGGAGGTTTCAGAGCATGCCCTCTTGCCTGTGCCCATCAATCTGTGCAAACTCGAAGCTGCCATCAGTCTCTCATGCTGTTTCTGAACTTAACAGGCTGCCTTGGAAAATACAACCACTATTCATATCTCATGCTCTAGGATTCCAGATTCCAAACCCCACAAGTAGCTCTGAAAACATACCCATTCTTAAGCTGTAGACCGTCTGAAGATAAACACTGTGACAAATGAGAGTTTCTCTGCAAACTAGAGATATTTATTAATTCCCTTTCATAGAAGACCAACATGATCGTCTTTAACATAGTATGCATGCAGATGTTAAAAGTACTACCATATTTACTTAGATGTCATTGAACTATGATTATTCTGTCAGTAATCAAAATGACCTTTCTTCAAATAAAACATTTTTAATGTTTTACCGCATTTCTAGTCCCTGATTTAATATTGTTATAAATTGTCAGCAAATTTTTAATAGATGGCTTGCTTGGAAGACATTTTGAAATTTCTCTTTTCTGTTTCCTCTATAGTTCCAGAAAAGAAACTGTGTTTAGATTTAGCTAACAACCCAGGGATCTTATTATTTGAAATCCTATCAAAACTTGTAGAGACGTCAGCCCTGCACAGAAAGGATATAATCGAGCTAGTAAGGTAAGTGGCAATGGAACAGGGGAAGGTGGCTTACTAGGGATGTGTCACCAGCATCCTACTCTACAGAGTTCAATCCAAAACAGAAGAAAGGGTTAGGGCAAGAGGCTACGTGCCACAACACTCTCTCGTGGTTCTGAAACGATAAGACTGAGCTCAGGCTCCATGTGGGCATAAGACATACACACACACACACACACACACACACACACACACACACACACACACACACACGAGCTAGCCATCCCTAACCCAAGGCAGAGCTGCTGGTGCACAGGCTAGCCCTTTTCTTTACTTCTCAGTCTTCGTTTCCTCACCTACAAAATCCAAGTGGTGATGGCAACGCCTGCCCTGAAGGGCAGTTGTGGGGTGACACAGAACAACACAGCCGAGCACTTCGAGAGTCATGCAGCACAGTGAAAGAAGATTTGCATGTTACTTAATAGAGTCCGGCAAGCAGATCAGATGCTTGCCCCGGAGTGAAGTGCTGATGTTTAACGCACAGCGATCTCTGCTACCATGTGTCCTCCTGCACCGCCTCTCACTCCTGCTAAATGGACAGGACACCTTCGCTAACACTGCTTTCTATTGAAGTGGGTTGTGGTTGTTGTTTATTTGGTTATCTTATGAGGTTGTTCTTTAACTGCTGAAAAATTTTCAAATCTGGGAAGATCCAGGAAGCCATGAGACCCTTACTAGATACAGTGAAAAAAAAAAAATCATCTCCAGGGTATCAAAATACAAGATAACCAGGCACTTGGGAGACAAAGGCAGGTGGATCTCTGTGAGTTCAAGGCCAACCTGGCCTACAAAGTGAGTTCCAGAACAGTCAGGGCTGTTACACAGAGAAACCCTGTCTCAAAAAACAAAACACAAACAAAAAAATTAAGAAATGTATCAATGTCAAAAACTATCAAAAGAGACCAAGATGGCCCTTACATAAATGATAAAGGAATCAGTTTAGCAAGAGGAAATAACAGCTGAGGCTGCAGCTCAGCATCTAGAGACTGGCATGCACAAGGTCCTGAGTTCGGTCCCCCATACTGGAAAAACTAGTCCAAAGCTTTCTAAAAGAAATTAAAAAGAGGAAATAGGGATTGTTGTGTAGCTGAGTGGTAGAATACTTACCTCACATGCACAAAAGCTTGGGTTTGATCCCAGGACATACAAAACATTCAAATGATACAAATAAACATAACTTTCTAAGCAGGCACATGGGCTCAGGCAGTGATCCCACACTCTGGAGTCTAAAGCAGAAAGGACACCATGAGTACAATGCCAGCCTGGGCTACAAAGTGAGATCCTGTCTCAAAAGAGAAAAAAAATGCATTTTAAAACCCAATACAGGGCTGGAGAGATGGCTCAGAGGCTAAGAGCACTGACTGCTCTTCCAGAGGTCCTGAGTTCAATTCCCAGCAACCACATGGTGGCTCACAACCATCTGTAATGAGATCTGGTGCCCTCCTCTGGCCTGCAGGAATACATGCAAACAGAACACTGTATATGTAAGGAAGAGAGAGAGAGAGAGAGAGAGAGAGAGAGAGAGAGAGAGAGAGAGAGAGAGAGAGAGAGAGAGAGAGAGAGAAAAGAGAGAGAAAAGAAATAAGACCCAGTACAGACTAGTACAGTATATGGCAGCATCTTCGATGGTGTAGCTACAAGTAAGGAGCTTGTAAATAATCCTTCGCCCAGGACCCTGTAAGCAACCCTAAAAATACACATTGAGTTTTCAAGCCAGAAAGAAAGAGAGGGAAAGGTAAGGATGAGGGGAGGGAGGAGAGGAGAGAGAAAAAATGAGAATACAAAAGAAGATAGGGAGGACGGGGGAGAGAGAGAATGAGATTCGAAGGAAGAAAGACGGACAGAACAGAGACTAAAGTGGAAAGAGAAAGGGGAGCCAGAGGGGAACAGGAGAGGGTAATGGAGTGAATATAATAAAATGCATATAACGTACAAAAATGCCATAATGAAACCTATTATTATCATGTATGATTCACATATGCTAATAAGTTTTAAATAGATTTAAAATAAACATAATCAACATCTATCGCTTGCAGTTTGATTTTCTTTTTGTCCTAACAATTCTTTATTCCATTTCTGAATTACCTGTATTTTCTCTTTAAGCTATTTCCGAAAAAAATTCCAGGAAAGCAACGCAGAAAGACTGTGGAGTCCTAGAAGGGGCTTTAGGGCAGACATCTGCACTCCTCCGCGCTCAAGCACTGCTGCCTTTGCCAACTCGGCCAGGATCTCCATCATGAAAGAAAGGGATCTGTATAAGTTTCTCGAAGCACTCAAGCGTAAGCCGTTTTCCCTCTCCACCGTTACAGACTGACTTCCCCTGAAGCTGGTCAGAAATAAACACCAGAGGCCAAGAGCAGGGCCCGGGGCTCTTCGAGTAACTGCTCTCCGTCCCACAGAAACTATTTGGAAGCAGAAGTCCCCCTGACTGAGCCCTCAGACACCTGAGTGAAGCCTGCGGGATGGGTGTGGGATGGGTGTGGGGTGGGAACGTGCGACTGAGGCAGAGGAGCCAGGGCCACACGAGAGCAGACGAAAGCGCAGTAGGCTCTGTGTGCTTGTCATTCCGGGCCATTTTTACTTCATTTATAATGCCATTTTTGTTTTTATCTTTTCAGGGTGCGATCTCCCTACAGGTAGCCCGTACTCAAAGATACCTATCTTTCCATTGTTCCCCGATGTGGACGGGATGGTGATGGGAAGGCCATTCAAAGACATACAGAAGTTAGAGACGCTAAGGAGAAAGGAGCCGCTGAGTTTCTTTGAGGACTATTTTTTCCATAAAAGAGATTGGAAAACACAGGTGAGTTTTAATCTGTCATATTAGCTGATTTAAATACTTCCACTTGTAAGAACCCAACTCAAGACTAAAAGCATGTTTTTGTTACAAATATTGGACAGCGTCTTGGGTGATTGTAGTTGCTTTGAGGTGTTTATTTGGTTTGGGGCTGGGATTTTTAGAGACAAGGTCTCATGTAGCCTAGATTCACTCAAACTTGCTGTGTAGCCAACAAGGACCTTGAACTTAGTTCTAACTATTTCAACAAAATAATTCGATTTACTGAAGATAACAAACCTGGGTTTGGGGTTGGGATGAAGACTATAAGAACAATAACAAACTAAACATGGTGGTTCATTCCTGTAATTCTAACATGGAGAAGCCTGAAGCAAAAGACAGCAAAGAATTCAAGGCTAGCCTGGGCTAAGTATTGAGTTTCACACCTGTTTCAGCTGCAGTGAGCTCTTGTATTTAAAAAAAAAACCCAAGAAAAAGCAGGTTGTGGTAGTGCACACCTTTAAGCCCAGCACTTGGGAGGCAGAGGGAGGAGGATCTCTGTGACTCTGAGGCCAGCCTGGTCTGGTCTACAGAGCCAGTTCCAGCTGTTACACAAAGAAACCCTGTCTCGATAAACAAAAAAACCACCAAAGCTGGAAGGACAGCAAACTGCACCTGATGGCATGTGCCTATTAATCCCCGCACTCAGGGAGCGGACACAAAAGAAGTGAAAGCCGTCTTAACACATATAGCAAGATCCTGTCTCAAAGACCAAAAAATAGTAGAGCACTAAATGTCTCAAATCTACTTTCATTGCTTTCCCATCAACTCAAGCTGGAGCTGCATTTTGAACTGTCAGCCAGCTCCAGGTTGGCCAGACATCTTGGGAGGGGAGGACCAGACCCACATCAATGGAGCAATGCTCTGATGGAGGGGCCACCCTGCTCCTCACTAGAACCTTGCCTATGACCCCGCTGTACCTTCTGGCCCTGTGTCACTCTGTGGCCTCCAGTCCGTTTGCTTGTACATTACTATCCTGAATTACAAAGTCTCAGGATGCCCAGGTATGCTCATGCTTCCAGATATTCTCTGAGGAAGTTCTAGCCTCACCCCCAAGTTTGTTCTAAGCCTTCCAGGGTAAGCAGCAGGACTGAAATTTACCTGGAATAGAGCCTGATCCAGGCATGGCAGTTCACACCTGTAATATCAGCATTGAGAGGGTGAGTTCAAGGCCAACCTACACTACACAATAGTTCCAGGCCAGCCAGGCTATGCAATAAGACCCTGTCTCAAAAAAAAAAACTAACAAGGGGCTGGAGAGATGGCTCAGCGGTTAAGAGCACTGGCTGTTCTTCTAGTGGTCCTGAGTTCAATTCCCAGCAACCACATGGTGGCTCACAACCATCCGTAATGAGATCTGCCCTCTTCTGGCCTGCAGGTGTATGTGCAGACAGAACAGTGTATACATAATAAATAAATAAATCTTAAAAAAAATAAATAAACAAAGCCAAGCTTGGCTCACAGAAAACTCAATATTCTTATTTGTGTTTGGTTTTGCATGGGGAATGGAACCCATGTACTAACTATGCACTTTACCATTGAACTCCACCCCATGCCCTTTGGATAAAAGAAAACAATACAATCAGTTTATTTTCTGAGTGCACATTATATGCTAGATTGTCCTCATCACAGATTGTCTCTCATCAGAGATTGCCTGTCATCTTAACAGCAATGGCATCAGTGACTTCCTAAGTAATCTACTTGCTTTTATTTTTTCCCTTCTTTACATGTTCTCAGTATATGAATAGCAGCCAAAACAGCTCTGTTCAAATCGACTTGAAATCCTCCAGTTGAGCTTTTCAGATGACTCAGGAAAAAAAAGATAATCTTCGTGATTACTTACAAGGTCCTGAATGACTTAACCCTAAGAGTCTGCCAGGCATGGTAGTGCATGCCTATAATCCCATCACCCAGGAAACTGAGGCAAAGAGATCATAGACGACTTGCACAATATAGGGAGACTCACGTCTCAGATAACAACAGTAATAAACCTGAACCTTCCAATAACTGAAATTCATCAGAATTACAAATCCAGTTCTTCAGTTGTACTACCCACAATTGAAGTGCTCAAATGGCCTATTAAAACACACAAACATATAGAACATCTCCATCATTGCGGAATGTTCTATGGACATCATCAAAGTAGACCCTCACACATATACCCATTTTGTCGTCACACTCTGCTGTTCCTCTGCTTGAACGCCATTCCCTGTGTGTCTGAAAAGCCCTATTCCTTGCTTCTCATGAGTCTTCTTGCAACTGTCACTTCAGGAGTTTCCCACAAGTCAACACAATGAATGCCACTCAAATGTTCACTTCAAATAGTCATTTTAAGTTATAAACTTATACCATTTTGATCATTTTATATTATGAACTTCTACCACAATCAGTTTATTTTGGATTTTTGAGATACGATCTCATACTGTATCCAAGGAAGGCCTTCAATTTGCAATGATTCTCCTACCTCAGCCTCCCAAGTGCTAGGATTTATAAGCCTGTACCACCATGTCCAAAAGTAAATTATCTATTAAATATATAGTTTAGAGGCTGGAGAAGTGATTCAGTAGTTAAGAGCACTTATTGTTCAGTCATACTCTGTTTTTTGTTTATTTGTTTTGATTTTTTGAGACATGGTTTCTCTGTGTAACAGCCCTGGCTGTCCTGGAAATCACTCTGTTGACCAGGCTGGCCTTGAACTCACAGAGATCCACCTGCTTCTGCCTCCCAACTGCTGGGATTAAAGGCATGTCCATTACCACCCAGCTCATACTCTTTGGCTTTTTGAGACAGAGTTTCTCTGTGTAACAGCTCTGGAACTCACTTTGTAGACCAGACTGGCTTCAAACTCACAAGAGATTTGCCCTGCCTCTGCCTCCTGAGTGCTAGAATTAAAGGCCATACTCCTTTTTTGTTTTGTTTTGTTTTTTGTTTTTTGTTTTTTTGGGACAGGGTTTCTCTGTGTAGTTTTGGTGCCTGTCCTGGGTCTCGTTCTGTAGACCAGGCAACACCACTGCCCGGCCCATACTCATTTCTTAATGCTACTTTTATAAAGGACCCAACTTTGGTTCCCAGCACCTATATTGGGTGGCTCATAACTGTCTATAATTCCAGCTTCAGGGGATCTGATGCCTCTGAACTCCACAGACATCTGCACTCAAGTGTACATAACAGTAGCAGGGTCCTGTGCTGTTGTTCCCTATGGGGGAGGGGGCCAAGTAGGCGCAGAGTCAATGACACAGACTCTGGGAGAATGTTGAAACAACAAGCTCAGTTTATTCAGGAAGAGGCAAGCCTTATATACCCTCTACCCCACCCTGGGGGAAAGTCTGATGAATATTCATCTGCTGATGTGACGTGCTGCCTCTCATTGGTCCAGGTCATCTCCAGATCATGTTTCAGCAGCTGTTGCTAAGGTCCTTAGGCATACCCAGGTTGGCTCTCAGAAAGTATCTTTTTTACTTGTTTGGGCCTGCTGGCCCTCAAGCCTGTTAGGGATAAGTCATCCTACACATAACCACACACACAATTAAACATAATTTTTAAAATATATTTTAATAAAATAACAGCCTATCCCCTTCCCTAATTTTTCTATAACATATGTTGCCATCTATTGTTATACTTCAGGTATCATGTTCACATTTATTATATGTAAAAAAAGATATAGTGTGTTATAATCTATATCTACTATATTATATGTATATTTATAAATATGATAATGTGCTATTTCTACTGTCACACAAGTGCCTATTAATAGATATAATATTGATATATTAATGTATATAATAGATATAATATTGATGCGTGTTGATGTATATAATATATATATATAGCTGTGGAGATGATTCAGTGGGTAAAGTGCTCTTGCTGCACAAACATGAGGAGCTGAGACCAGATCCCCAACACCCATGTAAAAGCTGTCCTGGTGGCACATTCCTATAATCACCTGGAAGACAAGTAGACCCTGGAGCCAGCCAGGCTAGCTGAAAACAGTGAGTCCTAGTCCAGTGAAAGAACCTGTCTTAAAAAATACAGAGGTCAACCTCTGGCCTACATACTCACATGCACAAGGGAGCACACTCACAGATACAACTAGATCATTTTCATAATTTCATGTGTATACATTTTATATGTATAAATATATAGAACATTAAATATATACCACATGAGATATAATATACTACATGGTATATTGTGTCTAAGCTAATATATTATAACAGCTCACGCAACATTCTACATATTTACAAATGTTAATTGAAACCAAAAAATAGGACTTAAGTGTCAGAATGAAAATAACCAGCTACACATTATCAACCCACTCCCTGTGACCTACCCCACTCACAAACTCTGTATGTCCCCATTTTTTAAAAAATGCTGCATGAAAAGCTGGGCAGTGGTGGCACATGCCTTTAATCCCCACACTTGGGAGGCAGAGGCAGCAAGACTCTGAGTTTGAGGCCAGCCTGATCTATAAAATGAGTTCCCAGACAGCCAGAACTGTGGTGATATTGTGTCCCCCAATATATTGTACACCCTAATAAACTTATCTGGGGTCAGAGAACAGAACTGTAGATGAACAGTCTTATTAAATAAGAAACACAGAGCCAAATGCAGAGTTAAAAGCCCAGAGATCAGAGCAGTAGCTGAGAACTGAGACTTAAAACGGCCTTCTTACCCTTCCTGCCGCTGCTGTCCTTCCTCTCAGCAAGAGACCTACTTCCTGTGTATCTGTCTTTTTATTGACTTTCTGTTCTGCTTTCTCATTGGTTGTAAACCCAACCACATGACCTCCTCATCACTGCCTGTCTATACAGACCTCCAGGTCTTCTATGGTTGGTATTGAGATTAAAGGCGTGTGTCTCCATGCTGGCTGTATCCTTGAACACACAGAGATCTGTCTGTCATGTGATCTGGATTAAAGGTGTGCGCCACCACCACCTGGCTTCTTCTATGGCTTGCTATTAGCTCTGACCCCCAGGTAATTTTATTTATTAACATACAAATAAAATCACATTTCAGTACAAATAAAATATCACCATACAGAACAGCCACTAGACAGACATAGAGGCCAGAAAATGGTGACACACACACACACACACACACACACACACACACACACACACACATCTTTAATCCTAGCATTCCAGAGGCAGAGATCCATCTGGATCTCTGTGAGTTCAAAGCCACACTAGAAACAGCCAGGCATGGTGACACACGCCTTTAATCTCAGGAAGTGATGACAGGAAGCAGAAAGGTATATAAGGCATGAAAACCAGGAACTAGGTGGGTTAAGCTTTTAGCTTTTAGCTGCAGTTCAGCTGAGATCCATTCAGATGAGGATTCAGAGGCTTTCAGTTTGAGGAAACAAGATCAGCTGAGGCATTGGCAAGGTGAAGTTGAATGTGGCTTGTTCTGTTTCTCTGATCATTCAGTGTTCACCCCAATACCTGGCTCTGGGTTTGTTTTTATTAATAAGACTTTTTACAATTCAGCTACACAGAACTACACGGAGAAACCCTGTCTCAAAAAAAAATACAAAAAGAACAATAACAAAAAAAATGCTGAATGAAATGACAAATATTCAAAAATGTCCTCAAATGCAAGCAAAATTCCCATGTTTCAAAAAGCAAGGCAGCCAGGCAGATCTTTGTGAGTTCAAGACCAGACTGGTCTACATAGGAAGAGCTTCCCTTGGAAAAAAAAAAAGCAAGAGAGACCCTACAGCCAGAACACCAAGCTAGCTCATAATATGACCCTGGGGATAGACAGAAAAGAGAGGCAGGAAGGTCACATGGAGGTACTTAGACCTGATAGCTAGGGACAGGGGTTGGCCTGACAATTCAGGATCAGATGTGGATGCCTAGAGTTAAATCTAAAAAAAAAAAAAATAGATTTAGATTTAATTTGAAATCTAAAAACTCTAAAAAAAAAATCAATCTGAGAGGAAAGGTAAATACTGCCCAGCACAAGGCCCAAGTTCAACCTGCTAGAAGCTGTCAATGGAGAAGAAAGTATTCCTTGAAAATGTGAAAGCTGAGGTTTGAGAAAACATGGGTATGCTGCTGGGATTCACAGTTCCCACAATGGATGCAGTCTCCAAGCTGTGTACTTACCCTAAAAAATCAGTTTCAACCTTAGGAAGTCTGCAAGACACAAATACAAACATATCTAAGTCCTGAGCTACATAGTTCATACTATAAAAACAAAGACGTTCTGAGAGATGGCCCCATGGTAAATGCACTTACTGCATAAGCTTGACGCCCTGAGCTCAATTCCCAGAACCTATGTGAGGAATGGAGAGAACTAACGGTTTAAAGTCCTCTGGCCTCTGCATGAGTGTCATGCACAGACACACAGACATCACACAATCAATCAATTAATATCAATTAATGTAGAGAGATCCCAGAACAGACTACATAAAGAACACAGGGAGACTTTTGGCCTTGGAAATCACAAAAGACTCACCTGGGAGGAAAAATGATGGATTAAAGGATAGAGAAATCTCACAATAGGGGGAAGAGTTAAGAACATTCATACTAGATAGCTTTAGAGAAAGCAGATCAGTAGCTGATGGAGTTTGAAGTCTGGCTTTCCAGCAGCCACTTGGAATGTTAACAGTGAACAAGAGCCTAAGAATGCCAAGTAGTAGCGAGGAGGGTCTGGAGATTAGGCAGTAAGCATGTCCAAAGAAAGTGAGCAGTACGTTTACCTAACTTCCCCTAGCATTGTTCAACAGCCCAGCAACAGGACAAACAAATGCTGCTTCCTTCCAGAAGTCTGGAAACAACAGAGGTTGCACTCTGTGGAGGGCACCTTCCTAATAGCTTGGGAAGTCTGGGTCAGGATGGAGTTGGCTCCTCTCTGCCCTCCTTATCCACTCTGCATGTGAAACATTCATCAGTGTTTGTCTTATAAGCAGCTTTATTATTATTATTACAGTGGATTTACTAAATGCCCGTTCACACACGTACCATGCGAAGTGTGCTAGTGCAACTGACAAATGGCTTAGCGACAACCTTATAAATCACATACATAAAAAAATTCTGACCCAGAGGTGGTGGCGCACGCCTCTAATCCCAGCTCTCAGGAGGCAGAGGCAGAGGGATCTCTGTGAGTTCGAGGCCAGCCTGGTCTACAGAGTGAGTTCCAGGCCAGCCAGGGCTACACAGAGAAACCCTGTCTCAAGAAACAAGAAAGAGGAAGGAAAGAAAAAAAAATCTGGTTTTGTTTTTGTAAAACACTGTCACACTGTAGCCCAGGCTGGCCTGGAACTCTTGTTGTTTTTCTTGCTCTAGTCTCCCGAGGGCTGGTGTTACAAGTGTGTACCATTATGCCCAACTTCCTAGTCATGCTCCCCCGCCCCATTATTATGCCTTTTTATAATTCATGTCTGAAGTTGGCATACATAGTAACGGGTTTCACTGTGGCAGTTTACCATATGTATAATTATGTCTTTGTTATATAATTCAACCTGAACTGTTTTACTGATCTCTTTTTTAAAATTTTAACGTCCGTAAAGGCTGCAGCTGTAAAACCTATCAAGTCTGCCTCAGGCTATTCGGATGACATCCTAGCCATTGACCAACTATTCAAGAAGAAGCATCACTGGACAGTATCTGATGCAGTGGCTATCAAACAGCATGTGAGTACTCCCTGTCAACCGCCTTCCCAGACTGCACCGTCGAAAGTGTCTTCTGCTGGGGAGACTCCGCCTCCAAAAACAAACCAAATCTCTACTTCAGAGTGAGACAAGATGACTGTGTCGCTCCCAGAACCCGAGGGGTCCAGGAAAGAGGAGAGGAAAAGACCTGGAACACGAGTGTCTCCGGTGTGATTTGTAAGGGCCAAGGGAGTAGAAGCATCGGGAGCATGATGATTAGCATCAAATGTAGAAGCGGGGAGCGGGAGACGTAAATCCATCCTGTCCTTCTCTGTGAAGCTGCTTAGAAGTTAGGCTACAGCCAGTGAAAGTGTGCATTCTGAAACCTCTCTGCCCATGCCTTAGAGTGTGTGTGTGTGTGTGTGTGTGTGTGTGTGTGTGTGTGTGTGTGCACAAGTGTGTGATCATGTGTGTGCCAGAGGTCAGCCTCAGCTGTTATATTCCTTAGGTATCTTCTGCTTTTCTTTGGACAATCATCACACTCTCGATGCCCCTACTCACAACTTTCTACTTGCACACCAATCTTCTCGTAGCACCCACTCATGCACTTGCCTGTGAGTGTGTATCCATGAGTCCTGAGATTAGGAGACACCATAGAGAGAAAACACAGTTCCTACTCTAAGAGAGCTTGCGGTGAGGGCAAAGTCACAGAGAAGGAAGTGGACAGTAGCCATGAGCTGGCATGTGCGGAACTTCAGAACACAAAGCCGTGGGCAGCTGACTCCTGTCTCGCCATTAGCACATACACAGGCAAGTAAATGGAGGCTGCCTGTGGCCAGAGACCTCCAGCACCAGCACCAGCTGCCCCAAAGGCTACGAAGCTTGAAAAGATCATTAGTTTAGCATCCCTATAACTCAGCCATAGAACAGCAGGGATCTCTGTATCAAGTGAAGGAAGCTAGGGTGAGCATGTGAGCTATTTCAGTCTATCTCCTTTGTTTAGCAGTAGCCACCTACATACTAACAACTAATTTGCCCCAGCCTAGACTTCTTTCTTGTACCTTGGCCTTACCTCACTCACCATCTGATAAACATTCCCCCCTATGTGCTACATCTCATAACACATCATGCTCAGCATGTCCCACGCTCATTCATCATCTCCTGCATCAGCCTGCCTCTCCCTGAGAATGCTGTATCTCAGTTGTTGATAGCACCATTTACTCAGTCACTGAAGCTAGAGGGCCAGGGGGCACCCTGAACATTGCTTTTTTTTTTTTTCTTCTTACTCCTTACCTCCACCAGTCACCAAATCTAGTCCAACTCAGTCTGGGATGCTTTCCAAGTCTGTTCCCTTTACTCTCTCCCTGTTCTCTCTGCCTGAGTTGAATCCTTCCATAAGAATTGCTTGGACAACAGCCTCTAATCTGGTATCCCAGCCATTTTCCACACAGCTGCTAAATGATCTAACATGAAGATCCAAACATGCCATTGTCCTGTTTAAAGGTAAATGCTTGAGCTGAAGGTATAGTTCAGTTGGTAGCAATCTTGCCTAGCACAGACAAAGCCTCAAAGGTTTGAGTCCCCGTTCTGGGGGCTAAGAAGGATGGGTACAATAAATGCTTCCAAGTAGCACCCTAAAGGTGGAAAAAGCAATAGTATTACAAGTTGAAGAGCAGCCTGTGCTGCACAAAAAACGTCAAGGCCAGCCCGGGTCATTGAGCCTTCCCTTCAGTGGTGGCAGAGGTTTCTACTCTACCCACCTGAGGAATTTATCCCACTTCCCTCAGAAACGGCTCCCACCGCGTGCTTTCTCCAAAGGGCTCTCCTCCACTACACTGAACCTTCAGTGACTCCTCCATCACTACCCCCTCCTCTCACTTTAACCTCGACACTCTGGCAACACCAAGATGCTCCAGCTCCCCTGCCAAGTCCAGGGTGTTTATTGCCTTCAAGCACTTGTTTATGTGGCCTCTTCTTTTGGGACTCCTTCCCGTCACCCCTCGATGCCTCAGCCTTAATATCCTTAAGGATTTTCTCAGCTCAGCATCTTCTCCCAGCTGACTCTCCCTGTCTCTGGCTGAATCCCATACCTATATATCCTAACTTAGCCCCACACTTCTCTCCTGGAACTCACTATGTAAACCGGGCTGGTCTCACACTCACAGAGATCCACCTGCCTCTGCCTCCTGAGTGCTGGGATTAAAGGCATGCACCACTATACCTGACTTTCAAGTGGTACATTTTGATTTCCACCAACTCCTAGCTCATAAGTCCCATGCTACCCCCTATGTAGCCGCAGTGATTTTCACATGTGTGACTCTCAAGTCACCAATGATTATGGTTTATAAATCAAAGATAGTTAAGGTAACTCCATTAAGTTAATACCGGTCCTCTCGGTGCAGGTAAAGAGAGCCACGGACACCTATAACTTAGGAATTGCACTTGAGCACCGGAAAGAAATGCTGAATCTCTGGAAAAAGATCCGAGGGGATTTGATTGGGATCGAAACCAACAATGAGTCCTTTTACAACACCTTTTCTACATACACGTGGTCCTGGAATGTCTGCCAAGAGCTGCTTTCCCCTAAGGACTTGCGCTTGCATGATGCCTATGCAAACAGAAACTCCTCCGGCAATTCTGGATTCTCTTCCCCGTCAGACTTCAGTGAGTGTGACCTGGAGACAGGAAGGAAAAGGAAGCGGAAAGGTTTCAGGGGATTTCGGCAATGAAATGTCTACATTTTCTAAACAACTCTTCGAAAACTGCTTTCCATAGTTATCCAAATTATGATTTCTTGCTTTTATCTACTACAGGCTTAGCAGGTGGAAATTTTGACATCTTTTGGATTCCATCCAGTAAAAACCTTTAAATCATAGAATGGTTTCTCTTCCCACGGTTTCTCTTTCCCAAATCTTTGCTAGTTAAAAGCAGTTACCCTAGCCCTTCCCTGGATGGAGATGGAAGAAGAGATGACCGGAGGTAGGAGGGGGGGAATGGGTGAGAGGGACTAGGAGGAGAAGATCGGGGAGAGGCTGCAGCCAGGATGTAAAAAAAAATAGGTGAAATATGTGTACACACACACTCACACACACGCGCGCACACACACACACATATATGCTTGGCTATGCATGTTTATTTCCAATGCTAAATCTTATATGGTGGTAAAAATCATAGATAAAAACAATTTATCATTAGTAAGTGAATTTTAATATCATTGATATGTAAAACCTAACAATTTTCCAGGATTTGACTTGAATGCCTCGGTCTATCAATGTTCAAAGAATATGAGGTCTCCTAAGAATATTCTACCCAGTTCTTGTTGAGCTACCTTCCCTAAACCTCAGCTGGGTTTGGTTTGTAGTGAATTACTGCTTTGCCATGACATATTTAAGAAAGTGAATGTAGTGAATTGTAAGTATTTTTTTTAAATTGAAAGTAGATTCTTTTCTCATCCTTTATCTCATCCTGACCAGTTTCCGCTCTCTCCACTCCTCCTAGATACTCCTCATCTCCCCTCTCCCCCAGATCCATTTTCCCTCCATTTCCTCTTCAAAAAAGAGCAGGCCTCCAAGAGAGGACAGCCAAACAAGACAAAACAAGATACAATAAGCCAAGGCAAAAACCCAACAGGAGGAAAAGAGTCCCAAGAGCAGGCAGGAAACTCAGAGATACACCCACTCAAAAAAAAAAAAAAAAAGCAGTTACCCTATTATTAGAGCCAGTTACTCCCTGCCACTCCCACTCAGCTTAAAACAGCCAAGACAGCAGCAGAAAGGGGAAAAGTTAGCCTGGGTTTCTAAGGGCCCTCCATGCAAGAAGCATTTGAGTTTGGGGTGACTGTAAATGAGACCGGTTTTTGAATGTTTGTGACAGACCCCAGCATCAGAGGATGGCAACTGCAGGAAATAGCACCAGCACACCCTCCACCCACACCACAAAGAACCTCTGGGAAATTTAGGAATTCCTAAGGCACAACTTTCACTTGGATTGCTCCTGCAAATAATAAATCTCATCCATTACATTAAAGACACACATAGCTGGGCGGTGACGGCGCACGCCTTTAATACCAGCACTTGGGAGGCAAAGGCAAGTGGATCTCTGAGTTCTAGGCCAGCCTGGGCTACAGGGCTAGTTCCAAGACATCCAGAGCTACACAGAGAAACCCTGTCTCAAGGGGAAAAAAACAAATATACACATAACTATATTGCAAATTTGTGGAGGTATCATAGTATTTTGTTTTGTGCATGTGCATGTGCTATATTTGCAAGTGTGCACATGTGTGAGTGCACTCGGGTGTTCTTGACCATGCTGGTATGTGTGGAGCCTAGAGGTTGATGTCAAGGCATCTTCCGAAATCATTTCTCCATTTTGCTTTTTGAGTCGGGTTCTCACTGAACCTGGAGCTCAACATTTCTGCTAGACTCTAGAATCTACCTGTCACCATCTCCAACTCAATGCTAAACACTGCTGCCCTCAAATTTCTACATGGATACTGGGGGTTGGAACTAAAGTCATGATGCTTATACAGCAAGCATTTTGTCCACTGAGCTATCTCTTCATGCTGGAATGTCAAGATTTTTATTGTGATAAAACTTAACTGTAGCCGGGCAGTGGTAGCGCACCCCTTTTAATCCCAGCACTCGGGAGGCAGAGCCAGGCGGATCTCTGTGAGTTTGAGGCCAGCCTGGGCTACAGAGCAAGATCCAGGACAGGCAAAAGCTATACAGAGAAACCCTGTCTTGGAAAAAAAAAAGCAAAAAAACTTAACTGTGTGGTGGTATTGTGTTCCCCAAAATATTATGCACGATAATAAACTTATCTGGGGTCAGAGAATTGAACAGCCACAATATTAAACATAGAGGTTAGGCAGTGGTAGCACATGCCTTTAATCCTAGCATTCCAGAGGCAGAGATCTACCTGGATCTCTGTGTGTTCAAGGATACAGCCAAGCGTGGCGACTCACACCTTTAATCCCAGAAAATGAGCCTTTAATTCCAGGAACTGATGGCAGAAAGCAGAAGACCTGAGGATGAGGAACTAGCCTGGTTAAGCTTTTAGGCTTTTGAGCAGCAGTTCAGCTGAGATCCGTCTGGATGAGGACTCAGAGGCAACCAGTCTGAGGAAACGGGATCAGCTGAGGAACTGTCAAGGTGAGGAAGCTGTGGCTTGTTCTGCTTCTCTGATCTTCCAGCATTCACCCCAATACCCCGCTCCAGGTTTGTTTTTATTAATAAGAACTCTTAAGATTCTTGCTACATAACTGTATAGAATTTACCGTCTTAAAAATAAGTAAGTGGGGGACTGGAAAAATGGCTCAGTAGTTAACAGCACTGGCTGCTTGCTCCTCCAGAGGACCTAGGTTCAATTCCCAGCAGCCACATGGCAACTCACAGCTGTCTATGACTCCCAAGATCTGGCACCCTCACACAGACATACATGCAGGCAAAACACCAATGCACATAAAATAAAAATTTTAAAAATTATTAAAAACATTTGTGTATCATTCTTATTCTTCTTAGACCCACTTTTGTAGCTCTTCCTCCGGCATTCTGTGGGTTTTGACAGTTTATCAAAGGAGGCACACAACTTTGGGATTCTGCAAACACTAAATCTGCATTAACCTTTTGCTCTATTATCAGGATGACAAAGGTATTTTATTTCCTCTGCTGATCCCCCCCCAGGGAGGGGGGGCGCTCATTTAGCCCAGGCTAGCTTTGTTGGACCCTAAAGTTTTAGGGTCTCAAGTGGGCACCCCAAGAACCCAGACTCCAGTCCAGTTGATGCAACAGCACGAGGATTTTATTGGCTTCTGTACAGAAGGGCAAACTCTGCTCCTAAGAGCAAGAGCCACATCTTACTGCAGCCCCATGGGGGGTTTTAAAGGAAAAACCCACAAAAGCCATAAGATTACAGTTCCCATACAATTTTGTTTCACAAGGTCATGGTCTGATCACAGAGTAGGTACAGTCACGTCCACATGTACATTCTTCCTAAAACCTCAAGGGGGGTATCAGGGCGGGAGTGGAGCTTACACAAAGGTCACAGTGGTCCTTCCTGGAACACTTGCAACTATCCCAGTCACAGTTGAGCACATCTCTTAACAGAAATCTTTTTACATTGTTACATTGTTACAGGGGTGATTGAGTAGTGGCTGAGTCAGGTGGCCCTTGGAACTAGATTTTTAGTTTCTCATTTCCTGGTGCTTGAAGTTTCTCTTTTCCTGAGGCTTGGGAGTGTAAACCTGAAGGGTTAGGGTCTTTCAGCTTCAGGTTTGATAAATAGGCAATGATGGCCTTGGATTTCCTGATCCTCTTGTCTTCAACCCCTGAGTGGCAAGAGTGTGGAGATAACAAGTGTACTCCACCATGGCCAGTTTATGTGGTGTTGGGTGTCAAAACCAGGGCTTCAGCCGGGCGGTGGTGGCGCACGCCTTTAATCCCAGCACTTGGGAGGCAGAGCCAGGTGGATCTCTGTGAGTTCAAGGCCAGCCTGGGCTACCAAGTGAGTTCCAGGAAAAGGCGCAAAGCTACACAGAGAAACCCTGTCTCGAAAAAAACCAAAAAAAAAAAAAAAAAAAAAAAAAAAAAAACCAGGGCTTCATGCATGCCGGGCAAGCACTCTGCCAACTGAGCTACATCTGAAATCCCGTTAATTCATATTAATCCTCTTGCCTTCCCCCTGCCCGCCCTCCCTCTGTAACCCTGGCTGACCTGGAATTCACTTTCTAGATCACACCTGTGTGTAGAATTTACAGCAGCCCTCATGCTTCTGACCCCCAAGAGCTAGGATTACAGCTGTGTGCCATCATGTCCAGCTCTTCGCTAATTCTCATCCAAAGTTGATAAAAGGTATCAATTCTCTGCAAGGATTTTCTAAGAAACTGTTTTGGAGGAGTGTTGTTAAGACCATCCCAATCGCTATGCAGGCCACATTCTTTAGCCATTATTCTAGAAAATAACCTGATCCAGAAGAGAAAGAAGGAACCAAGCATGGCAGCACACACACACACCTGTAAGTCCAACTCACTGGGAAGCTGAGGCAGAAGGATTGCAGGAGTTCAAAGCCAGTCTAGGCTAGGTACATAAGAGACCCTACCTCAGACCAGATGTAAAAGACACATTCAACAAGAGGACTGTGTGAAGAGTTTGTGTTGTTTCTTCAGAAGGATCCTCATCGTGAGCTGTATGCTCATTCTACGTTGCATGCACAGTCCTCCTGTATGCCACCATGTCAGGCTACGATACAAAACTATAAAATGTCGCCGGGCGGTGGTGGCGCACGCCTTTAATCCCAGCACTCGGGAGGCAGAGCCAGGCAGATCTCTGTGAGTTCGAGGCCAGCCTGGTCTACAGAGTGAGTTCCAGGAAAGGCGCAAAGCTACACAGAGAAACCCTGTCTCGAAAAACAAAACAAAACAAAACAAACAAACAAAAAAAAACTATAAAATGTCAAGAAAAGGCAATGAAGACTGTAAGGGCCCCCAAAACCATTTACTGAAACTGCCTTGAAATAATTTTGTTACCTTGAGTATTCAAAAGCCTAGCTGGTGACATGGCTCGGTGGTGGAGCATTCATTTAGCATATGCAAGATCCTAGAGGCTATGCTTAGGACAAAAGTCCAAATCTGTTCACCATCTAGGCACATTGGCACATGCCTATATGCCTAACTACTTAAGAACTGAGGCAGGAGGATCAGTTGAGCCCAGTAATTGTGTTTCTTTCTTTCTTTCTTTTCTTTCTTTCCTTTCTTTCCTTCTTTCTTTATCTGTCTGTCTGTCTTTTTCTCTCTCTTCTTTCTTTCCTCCCTCCCTTCCTTCCTTCCTTTTTATTGAAAATAGATTCTTTTCTCATTAAATATACCCTGATTAGTTTCCCCTGCTTCCATCCAGATTCCACCTCCTTTCTCTCATTAGGAAAGAAAAGGCTTCTAAGAGATAACAACAAAACATAACAAATGAAAATATAATAAGAGAGCTGGGCAATAGTGGCACGCACCTTTAATCCCAGCACTCAGATCTCTGTGAGTTCGAGGCCAGCCTGGTCTACAGAGGGAGTTCCAGGACAGGCTCCAACGCTACACAGAGAAACCCTGTCTTGAAAAAAAAAACAGAAAAAGAAAATAGAAAAAAAAAGTACATGCCATGTGACTTCATCATCTTAAGATGGCCACATGACATGAAGTAACAATTATAAAACTTCTTGGTCCAAATGAGTTCTCTGTTTATCATTGTATCTTTTTAAACTAAGGAAGCAACAAGTCTCAAATGTTTTGGATTAGTATGGATTTTTTGTTTGATGATAAAAATTTAAGGTTATATTTGCTACAACATACTATATAAGTGATTCAACCCTGGTTTAGAATATACTGTATATGATGATAAACTTTTAAGGTTATAAAGGTCTATTCAGATTAACAAAAGTTGATTTAAGATGTATATCTAACTACTTATGTCTTTGCTAACTGTTTAACACCAAGTTGCTAAAAAATTTAGATAAGTAACATATGTTTGATAAGGCATATTTGTAGGTGGAGTTTCTCTGTTTCTCAGCAACTGCTCCCAAATAACCACTCAGAGACTTACTATTAATTATAAATGCTCAGCTGATAGCTCAGGCTGGTTACTAGCTAACTCTTACATTTTAAATTAACCCATATTATCTACCCATGTGACTGTACCTTCTTTCAACACAGCACATTCACTTGCTTCTCTCTGCATCTCTCAGGACTCTTCAGATTCTGCCCTTCTCCTTCCCAGCATTTTCTCTGCCCTGAAAATCCTGCCTAGCTATCGGCCAATCAGCTCTTCATTAACAATGAGAGCAACACATTTTCACAGTGTGCAGAAGGATTATTCCACAGCATATATTTGATAATCAAGATTTATAAATTCCTAAGGTCTACTCAAGTTCACAGTAATAATATATATTTAGCTTCATCATTACTCACTTTAAGCTTTAGCTGTTTGTATAGACTAAGCTATACAAAAGACTGCAACATTCTATAATGGTGTGTCTGGGCCCCCAAGAAAGTCCTTTTCCCAAAGTTGGGCATTTAGGCAAAAGCCCCCATTCCTTCAGGGGCTTGAAGAAAGTCCCTGCTTGCTAAAAAAAGGAGTCATTCTCCTTATCTGTGGCAAGAGGAACTTAACATATGACTATGGTGCCTACTGACTTGTCAAGGTCAATACTAGCCTCTAGGCTCCCTCAGTCACTGCTCACGAGTCCTCTTTCTCTCCTTCCCATTTAACCCTGAAAATCTTTCCCTGTCGCTACTTGCTTTCCTAGGAGACAGCCTTGGCAGTTTGGAATAAACCTTTTCCCTTTTCACCCATGGAGCAGCTACTTTTGTTTCTTTACTAAGCCCATTTTCATTCATGGTGCACTATAAAAAGATCAGTAAAGTTACCAGTCTCTCTGTGGCCTGTATCTATGATTAAAAGTTTTATTTTAATACTAGAAGAACTTCAATTCAAACAAAAAAAATTTTTTTCAAGACTGGGTTTCTCTGGAACTTGCTCTGTAGAACAGGCTGGACTCTAACTCAGAGATCTGCCTGCTTCTGCCTCCCAAGTGCTGGGATTAAAGGTGTGCACCACCACTGTAGCTAGAGTTTTCCTGCATGGACCACAGTCAGGACAAATCTCTCTCACCTGCCAGTCCCACAGCCACTCAGACCCGACCAAGTAAACACAGAGACTTATATTGCTTACAAACTGTATGGCCGTGGCAGGCATCTTGCTAACTGTTCTTACAACTTAAATTAATCCATTTCTATAAATCTATACCTTGCCACATGGCTCGTGGCTTACCGGCATCTTCACATGCTATTTGTCATCGTGGCAGCTGGCAGTGTCTCTCTGACTCAGCCTTCCACTTCCCAGCTTTATTCTCCTCCTTGTCCCGCCTATACTTCCTGCCTAGCCACTGGCCAACCAGTTATTTATTTATTGACCAATCAGCAACACACTTGACATACAGACCATCCCACAGCACTTCCCCTTTTCTTTTTCTTGTTTTTTTTTTTTTCCAAAAGGAAGGTTTTAACCTTAACAAAGTAAAATTACATATAATTTGGGAATTTGGGCGTAGCTTCTCTTACTACTTCCTGCTGTATCTTATGGGGACACAAAGAAAATGTTAGGATTATGGAATAGTCCATAAGGGTGTATCGTCTGAGCCAGTTGCCTTCAAACCATTCTGGATGTTGGATCATCTGGGCCATGGTGTTATCGGAGACCTTTCAGGGGGTCTTGGCTGGTTAAACCTGATGTATCATAATCTGGAACAAATCCATAGCCTCTGGCTTTCTGTGGGAACAAAAGCAGAGCCTCTTTTCCAAAGCAACATATCCTTATATCCAAATTTTGAAGTCAAAGTACCTTTAAAATATCCATATTGGTTTAACTCAACAGCTTTTACAATCAAATGTTTTTCTTC